ATCTCTCTCTATATCTCTCTCGTTCTATATCTATTTCTATATCTCTCTCTCTCTTTTTCTTTCTCTCTCTCCGTATAAACGCGCAAAATCGCCATGCCGTTTGCATCGCTTTTAATAGGTCTTCTTGCGCTCGAAGTGCCTTTCGTATCGTTAGCATCGGTTTTTCGTATTTACGTGGGGGAGTGGGGAGGGTGGCTTGGCGGGGGGGACGGGGGGGGAGTGAATTTCTTGAGATAGTCAAGAAAAGAGGGGGAGGGAAGAGCCTGAGATAATAAGGAAAGGGCGGGGGTTTCGCCTATCTTACCGGAGAAATCCGGTTTTAATAGAAATCCGTTTCTCCCCATTATTCATAGAAATAAAAGGTGTTCTACGCTACCTCTCGTAATTTCCTCGAAGACTACAAACGCCATTGAATACCGACTCTCGGAGCCCTACGAGATGCCACGCGCGATTAGAATCCTCCCTAGAAACTTAGAAACAACACTAAATGCCGACTCTCGAGGATTCCAGAGGATTGTACGAGAGCTTAAGACGCCCCCCAGAAGACTATAAACCTCACTAAGGTCGCACTGATTTCTGCACTACGCTCACGGACATGCACACACCTACCCATTCGGCCCATTATACTATTCTATATCTTTCACAAGACAGATAATACATACAATATGCATCAATTTATACAACAACCGCCCCCTTGCAGACCCTAAATTGGGGAGGGCTCTGGAGGACTCTAGGAAATGCGGCGCGTTCAACCTCTCCCACCTCCCCCGAAGATTCTAAACGTCCCCAAATGCCCCTTCCAAAAATTCTACGAGATACGACGCGAGTTTAAGACCCTCGCCCGCCCTACCTATGAGACTTGTTATCAAATACCTAAACATTGAATTTCAACTATTCGAAGAAATCCAAGAACTAAACTGCTGGCTGGATTTTCTCAATATTTACCAGATGGAATATTATGTAAATAGATATCTAGTTTCTGTCGAAACTCATAATCACCAAATCAATGATTATTTCACTACAACTGAAGACCAATCATATTTGATCATAGTTTCTTAGATTAAAGTCGTCTCTGGTTTTACGTGCTTATTCAAAAGAGACTAGCTTGGGGATTGAAGGGTCCTCAGACCGCCATCCGGGCCTTCGTCTTTTTCTAAGGGTCTGTTGCGTGCCGTGAACGTGCAGCATGCTGCCAAGGCGCTAGAAATCTGATTCGGCTCACAGGAACACAGCCCTGGCCCAGAACCCCTGTCAGTCGTCAGACTGCACTAGGGCATTCATTCACTTCCAAGCCACTGTCAGCGACCAAGGAATGGTAAAAGGAACAAGCGGCCGGACGCCTGCATTTAATTCCTTCAAGCTGCACACTTTTCGCACATCAGGCTGGAAGCTTGAGCACGGCCAGAAGCATGGTAACCTCACCCTTGCGAATGATGTCCACAGTGTTGTGATAGTTCCTCAATGAATCACATCAGAGACGGTTGAGGGATGGATTTTTTGGGCTTAGGGTTTAAATTTAGGTTTTAGTTGTGTCTACCCTGAACTTTCTAACTTTATAGGCTACAACCTCTTTCGTGCGCGCTTTGAGGCACAGCCGACTTACACTGGCGAGCTTTTTACCTGTATAGTTTCTGATATGTTATGCGATGTATGTTTATTGCATGATGTATGACCCTTGATTTATGGTACATGAATATGTACGTATATCTATACACACACACACACACACACGTACATGCATACACACATGTACACACAGTTCGAATTTTGTGTTGAGGGCGTAGGGGTTAATCTGCATAAGTTTAAGCCCAGTGTGAAACGTCTAATCATTAGAATAATGTTTTGGGGTGTAGTATACTATAGTTGTAACAGGGACTACTCCTAATTGTTCCGACTCTCTACAGTAGACGAGGAGGACTGGTGATCTGGGTGGGGAATAGGATGGCGGAAATTGGGGGGCAGGGTTTAGGGTTTAGGGTTTAGGGTTTGTTGTGTTCTTTCCGTTGAGCAATCGGCTAGACCACATGCTGAATTACGGGAATTCTGGTATGCAGGCCAACTAGCCCTGCATACAAACCATGTGGCACAACTGCAAACACCACGCTCTAAACACAACCCTAACAACAGTGAAACTCTTAACAACCCTAAACCCTAAACCTTAAACTTAAACCCACAACCCTGATGACACTTAGCATCTTTCGCAGTCAGCGGAATTTGCTGTATGCATGGGGTTTAGGTTTTATCGCAAAGCCCTGAAGACCCCTAGTAGGACCCAGACAGAGTCTAGAGTTCAGGGTTAAGATTTGCTTGGGGTGGGGGTGTGAGTAGTGGAAGGCTCCTGGGAACCCTACACCCCTTATGCCAGTCAGAACCCAGAGCCCTTTTAAAGCCATGGTTATTAGTGCTGATAGCAAGCCTTATCATCCCTGATCGAAACCCTGAAACCGTACATCACTAAACTGAACCCTAAACCCCAAACCCAAAACCCACTAAACTTCACTAAACCTTAATCGACACGGCAGGCATCTCTTGGAGAGGTGTGCCATCGGCGCTGAGGATTTCGAGGTCTCCAGCAGCATGGGCCATGAGCCGATAGCTCTGAGCCATGTGGTCTTTCAGGTCTTCAACCTCGGGTTTTAAGGAACCTGGTCGGTTTAGGTTTTAAGGTTTAGGGTTTCGTTGCAGGATTCTTCGTTGAGCTTTAGGTTTAGGGTGTTTCATAAGGGGTTTTCCGGGGTTTACAGATTGGTGAACAGAGTATTTGTGCGGGTTTATATTGGGTTTGGGTTTGGAGTTTTGGATGCAGGAGTTGGGGAGCTTTGGATTTGACGGTTCCGTTTTGAGGCTGTATCGCTTTGCGTTTAGGCTCATTGCCAGCATCACATCTACGCTTCTTTGTTTCGCCATGCGGGGCCAAACAACCTTTCAAGGATTTGGGGTGTAGGCGTAAGTAGATGTCTCAGAGGCAATGGTGTGCCCGAAGCTGTGCCGTCTTGGAGCCAAGCGGTGTGGATTCCGACGGGGAGGCCGTGTCCCCACTGAAAAGTTAGATGGTTGACACCACGATGAGCCGCGTCAAACCGAACAAGTGATTGTTGCATGTGTCTTAAGCCGAGACCAAGACAGCAACTTCATCAACTACACCAGCAACAGAAACTGCAACAGTCAACAGTCAACAGTCAGCAGCAACAACAACACCACCGCGACCATCACCACCAACAACAACAACAATACCACCAACAGCGACAGCGGCAACGGCAACAGCAACACTACCAGCAGCGGCAGCCGCAGCACAAAAACAACCACCACCACCACGACGACAACTACTGCTACAAATACAACGGCTCTGCCACCACTGCTCCTCCTCCTCCTCCTCCTCCTCCTCCTACTACATCCAGCCGTAGTACCTCTGCTACTGGTACGGGTACCAACGGTGGATGGAGGAAATCTTGCACCACCTACATTCTGATTCGGGAACGCCTCTAAGCACCGACCCTCACCCCCTTTGTAATATTGACGGATCTCATTGTGGCGATGAAGATTTGTGTCAGTGGAAAGGCCGTGTTCATAACAAGAGCGGGCGCGGGGTGAAGCCAGTTGACATATCTTAAAAGCAGTGCAAGACTTCCTCCATCCACACTACTACCGCTACTACTCTTACTGCTGCTGCTACGACCACTACTACTACTACTACTACTACTACTACTACTACTACTACTACTACTACTACTACTACTACTACTACTACTACTACTACTACTACTACTACTACTACTACCACGACTACTACGACTACTACAACGATGACTACTTCTACCACTTCTGCTACTCCTACTGCTGCTACTACTACTACTACTACTACTCCTGCTACTGCTACTGCTACTGCTACTACTACTACTACTACTACTACTACTACTACTACTACTACTACTACTACTACTACTACTACTACCACGACTACTACGACTACTACAACGATGACTACTTCTACCACTTCTGCTACTCCTACTGCTGCTACTACTACTACTACTACTACTACTACTACTACTACTACTCCTGCTACTGCTACTACTACGACTACTATTGCAACAGCGACACCGGCGGCAGCAGCAACAAGACGACCATTGTCGTCAATATCAGCATCGTCCTCATCATCTAACCCGGACGACTGTAATTGGAGGAAGCTGAGGCTGCGGCATGCTCCACAGAGAATCCTGCAGTTTCAGCCTTTCGCTGCCACTCTGCCGGCCCCAAAACCTTGTCAAAGTGGAGGCGCTTGTAGAAATGCCGCATGGCCTGACTTGGGCTTGGTTGTTGTTGGTTATGATGCGGCTCTAGGGAAATTGGATTCTGGGGTCTGGGGTTTCGGGTTTAGGGCTTCCGGGGCTTGGCTGCAAGGGTAGGCCTGGTACCATGCTTCAAGCGTCGGTGCATGAAAGACCAGCCTGTGAAGAATTGCCCGCTCGAGGGCTCAGGAGACTTGGCAAGGGGGTTTAGAAGTAGATTTTTTTCTACAGCACATATTGCCCCGATGATTACGTTCATGGGCTGTAAGCGAGGTAGCTATAGATATAGGCATGTATAGCCGTGCCCTGGTCCTCCAAATGTGAGTTCAAACTTGCACTCCCGTTGTGAGGGCACAGAAGCACTCGAAAACCTGCATCCTAGACCCCTTTCCGGTGCTGAACTAACATAGACGCAATTCACAAGCATCCCTGACAGGTTATCTGTCTGCGTGGTCTCGCACCATTATCATAGCAAGGAGCCCAAAATCTTGAACCTCCATGTCGAGAACCCACCACATCAGTGCTAAGGCAAGGGTTTGGGCCATAAGCTTTTCGGAGTCCACATTAGTCCCTAAACCCTAAACCCTAAAAACCCTAAACCCTAAACCCCACAGTGAAGAGACGCATGGTACAGACTAAGCTCACAAACCCGGTCAAGGGCGGCACCTGCTCGGTGACAATGCCCCGGTCGTTCGAGCAGAAGTCCTCTGAATGGGTTTAGGGTTTAGGGTTTAGGGTTTAAGGGTTTAGGGTGTTGGTTATATTGAAGCTTAGGTGTAGGGTTTAAGGTTAAGCGGGGAGGAACTGCACAGGGGTTTCATGACGAGGATCTCCACGACAAAGCCCAGACTACACACCGCACTCACCAAACAACCAGAATGTGAAGCCCTACCTCATGTGGTCGGAAAACCGAATTAAGGATGCCACACAACCATGCTAGTCTCCTTCCTAGCCAAATCAGTTACTGTTATACTGTACCTGCAGATTTGCAGCTTCACGTTTCCATTTTGCATCGTTTAAACTGCCTGAGACTCTATGTAGCGAAAGACGGTTCATATCCACCTCGATAAGATGGAACACCAAACACAACCAAACTCCGATTACACCCGAAGGCTCCGTGTTGTTCCATGACGTGGACATCACGCGCAGAAGCCTCGAACCACAAGAAGAGTGCGGGCCAAGAGAGCTCACTTAAAGGATCATGGGATTTAGTAACTAGGGTTAGAATTAGGGTAACTCAACTGATAACCCCAATTAAGGTACTTATAACCTTACATACTATGTCCCATGATCCCCCAAGCATGGTTGCTAAAGGTTCGATAAAGTTGCAAAACCGGGTCTTACAGCTTTGACAGGGGTTTTAGGGTTTAGAGTCTAGAGTTCAAGAGTTCAGGGTTGAATCCCTTAACGCATTGTGGTGCAGCGGACTAGTGCTTCGGACATCAAGTCTGGTACAGTTGTACTTGCTCCTTACGATGCCGTAATGGCTCGATTAGAAGTGCCGGAACCCTATAGCCCTAAATGGTATTCAACCATGCGCTGCAGCACATGTAAAGCTTCTGAAGCAAACGATACAATAACATCCCCACAACCATGTTCGCAACGAGACCAAAACTGCTGCAACTATCAAACAAGCTCTACCCGTGTCCTCGACCACGACCAAGCCTCCCGGCTCCAGAACGCTCCTGGACTCGCCGAGGACCGCGTCCAGGTCTGAATGCACGTGAACCCATGCCTGGCGCTGCTCTGATGAGCCAGGGGGATATACTGGTCACCACAAGAACTCAGCATCATGGACTCCACCATTGCCTTGTGACGATTTAAGAAAAAGCTATATAATATACTGTTGCTCTTACGACCATGAATGACCATGATATTCGCGGGGCTGTTATCACATGTCTTGTGACAGCTGCCGCGGCTGACACTATCAGAGCAGAAGGAGGAGGAGTGGAGTAGCGGTAGCGGTAGCGTTAGTGGAAGCGGTAGTGGTAGTGGAAGCGGTAGTGGTAGTGGTGGTGGTAGTAGTAGTAGTAGTAGTACTAGTAGTAGTCGTCGTCGTAGCACTAGCAGTAGCAGTAGCCTTAGTATTAGCACTCGTAGTAAGATTAGTATTAGTATTAGTATTAGTACTAGTATTAGTATTAGTCTCTGTGTCAGTATTAGTATTAGTATTGGTATTCGTATCAGTATCAGCTTAGTATCAGTATCAGTGTCAGTCTCAATGCCAGTATCAGTATGAGCATAAACAGTCCCACCTGAACGGACATGATGTGGCTAAACTTGGAAGACGTCAGCTTCGAGGGCAAGTCTGTGATGGAGCCCTCCAAGAAGTCCAACCTTTGACATGGGAGTTTCCGAAAATAAAGGGTACTTTCAAAGGGAATCTTTAAAGGGTTACTATAAGGGTACTATAAGGGTTCTGTAATATGTAAAGGGTTTAGAGTGTAGAGATTTAGAGTTTCCGAAAATATGGGGTACCGTTTTGGGTGGTCCTTATAAGAAGGATCCTACGATTTAGGCTTTTAGATTAGGGTCCCCTTTTTTTCGGAAATCCTCACTTTGTTCTCAAGGGTCGGTTTAGATTTGTGGCTCTACGGCTTTAGCGTGATTGGGCTTTAGGGTCTCATGGTTCAGGTTTTACGGCTTTCAGGCTTTGTCACGGTCTGAGAAGATGGGTCTATCAGGATTCTACGGGGTTGTGTAGGGCTCATTGAAAAACATGACGTCATTCAGTGATATAGGGTGGTCTTTTTCGAGGATGCCCAGCAACCTGGGAATAGAAAGGGCTCCCTTTTTGGTATTGGGTAACTTTATAAGGAACCTACAAAAAGGGAATAAAGGGTACTACTGGGCATCCTACGGTTGATGATATAAATCCTGCATTACCCATAGTAAGGAATATACCATAATTCCCATAATTCAGGGTCATTATGGTAATGCAGGATTTGTTTATCATCCACCCTAAACCCTTAATTCCAAAACCCTATAGATCCCTCAAAGGAGCAGCTTAAACGTACCCCTTATAGATCCCTTTAAAGGAACCCTAGGGATTTATATCATCAGCCGTAGTTTGGGTGAAAGTCGAGGAGCCTTAATCTCGCAGGCCCTGCAACAGGCACGACCGACTGCTTGGAGGGTCGGGGGACTTAGTAACCCCAATTAGGGGCCCCTTCAAAGGGGATTATAAGGGGTTCCTTTAAAGGGGTCCTTTAAAGGGATCTACAGGGATTCTATAAGGGTTTAGGGTTTAGGGTTTAGGGGACTTAGTAACTGGGTTATTTTAGGGACTTATTAGTACCATAACCCCAATTAGGTTCCCTTTTAGGGTACTTGTAAGTCTACCCTTGGAGGCCTGGCCCCCACCCCCCAGAATCTCTGAATCCCTGAGCCCAAAGCAGGACCCCCCCGAAAGCCCCATAATAGAGCCCTTACGGTCTAAAATAGTGGGAGTATTTGGGGTATGATAGGGGGTAGTTGGGGGTTCTAGGAATATCCCTTCGAGTAGAAGCCAGGAGCTTGGAAGCTGATCATGCAAGGGGCCTTAGGTTCGGATTCAGCGACTTCAGCTCATTGGCCCTGGCGATGTTCCTTGCATCGGCTGACAAAAACCCTCGAGTTAAGCGGTCTCAGGGCGTATGTCTGTGGGGCGCATTTTCCGTGTAGGTTCAGCCTGTCATTCGGCACTGGAGTTCGGGCTGCGCTTACATGTGTAAAAACACTTTAATTACGAGGGATGGACCCTTCAGCCGAGGCCTAGGGCTGGCGCTGCAACAAAGGTCATTTCATTGAGCTGCAGTTGTCATCATCACCATCATCGTCAAGATTATCTTGATCATCCTCATCAGCACCATCATCTTGTTCGTCACCGTCATCTGTATGGCCATCGTCAGTAGCTAAATAACCTCGCAGAAGCAGAACTCAATTCGGGGTTGTACCCTCGATGCCCAGCTACGTCTATGTAACTATGTAATCGGTTGCTCCACTTTGATTATCTACTACGGTCGCCTGCTGCCCCCGCAAATTAGGAGCCTGAGTACTAACTGCAATAAGGCTATGAATGTTAATATTCATAAGAAGACTGATGTAAGGCTTTAAAGATAAGGAATGAGTTCCGGGGTAGATGACTCCATACCTATAGTCAGGAATCCTAAGGATGGACACTAGCAATGATTCAGGCTTCCATACTTTGTGAGCCCGGGTGCGTGCTGGAGAGATCGACGCCCACCACAGTGCAACCTGCAGTGCGTGCCTCAAATCCGCCAGCGAAGTGCGAGAGGCTGTAAATCTCATGCACTTTTTGTTTAAGGGCTCTTGACGGGCTTTATAGTGTAGGATTGAGGGTGCGAGGGCGATTTTGTAGGAATAGAGCAATGCCCCTCACACGAAGGGCTCAAGTAGAAAGGCTTGAGGTGACTAAAAACAATCCGTAGCATTGAACTTGGGACCTACAACCCTACTATGGAACCTGCGTTCAAGTTCACGAAACCCCGAACCCTAAATCCCCAACCCCGACGGTTAGGATGTGCTGAAATGCAAGAGGGATTCACAGACCCTAAACCCTAAACCCTAAACCCCTAAACCCTATACCCTAAACCCTAAACCCCAGTCTTTAGGATTAAGGGTTTTAGGGCTTGGGTTTAGGACCGACAGGTCTTGCTGGTTCTGCACGGGATTTAAATTATGGGGGGTGAGACGCTTAAACACCCACTCTACGCGTTTTTGCTATCGGGTCTTGTAACATTCCATATTGGGTGGTCAGAAGTTTGGCAGGGGTACAAAGGTTTACAGCCTCAAAGTAGAGCCCGAAAAGAATACAGACTGGAGCAAAGACGACCGATGCAGCGATTCCCTTTACTCTCAGGCTCCAAGTCATGGCTTTCCGGCTTTCTGGTTTCAACTTTAGGGTATATAGGGTTTTAGGGTTTACAGCCCGGAGTCCAGGGTTTCTGGAATAGGTAGAGTTGAGGAAACTTTCTTCGGGGCTCAGTGTTTCAGCTGCTTTCGAGCTGCCACATCCACACACGCCTGGCCCTTGCCGCAGCCCATGTCCAGCACGGTCGACTCGGGTGTCAGCTGCATCAGCGTCCTAGTTCATGGTTGGGATAGGATTAAAAATTTACATGTGTATTCCTTATCCGGTTCAAATACCCATGAAAATATGACATGTTACCCAACTACGACACAGCGTCCTTGTTTTTGAGGGTTTGGGCCTAGGGGCTTGGAACTTTCAGCTGTTGGGGCTAGAGGCTTCTAGGGTTCAGGGTTTTGGCTGTATAGAAATTGTTAAGGGTTTGGGTGCCCGAAACGTTTTGACCAGGTTTTCTGACTGAAACCGATTTTGGGAATCCAATGCTGGGCTGGGCTGGATGTTGGGCTGACTGGGCGAGGTGAATGTTGGGGGAGACAGGGGCTGGCGAGCTGGGCTGGCTGGTGGCGCGGGGGCCGAGTTTGCGATTGGAACCTGATTTTGAAGTTGGGGCAGGGGCGGGGTGGCGGAGCGGCGGGAGTTTTGTGACTGGATCCTCGTTGTGATTACGAGGCACTGGGGGCCCAGGACCGGGAGTTTTACGATCGGGTGACGGGGGCTGGTGGACGGGGGGGCTGGGGGTTGGGGTTAGGCTTTGAAATTGACGGTTTAGGGGGTTCAACGCCAGCAATGACAAACAATTTCTATTTACTTTGAGGGTTTAGGGTTGCAGGGTTTGAACCTTCTTTCAGGGCTCATGGGAGGTGACAAGTACGGCGGTACGTCTGGACGGTCAGCGGCCTTAGCTGAACTCAATGCCTGTCATCACTACTTAAGAAGCCAGCCTGAAGCCACCAAGGACCAGACTTCCAAAGAAGGATACCTTCGCGCGAACTATCATGTAGCCTGAAACTGAGCCCACTAAAGTCAGCACTCCACATAAATACACTGATTCGAAATTCCATGTTAGTCCAGGGCCCAGGGCAGTACACATGGAGCATCAGGGGACTTTGCATTGGTAGGTACGAGTATGAATACCTTCGGTGGTCTTAGAAATACTTCCACACACAGCTCCCTGGTTTTTGCCACAGTGTAGGGTGGCAACGACTGGCACAGGTCGTCAAAGTCACGAGAACCCTTGCCCTGAATCTAGTAGAGTCCCTGCTAAAACCAAACAGTAAAGCGAGACTCTAAGCCCAAGAGCCAGCGCGGTATAGAGTATAGAGTCCACAAACCCTTAAACCCCACAAGGCTAAACCTTTCAAGCCTCAGGACCAAGAATGCGAAGAAGGGTCTGTGCTACTTCCCAGTCGGAGGATGAGCATGTGACGGAAGGCCTTTTGGGTTTTGGGTTACAGGTGTAGGCTTGAGGGTCTAGGGCATGTCTAGCAACGTCGGAATGTTCAAGGTCTAGTTGCCTTCGTCATTATGGCTACGTATATGTATGGGAAGCACCTTTGTAAGGAAGTCGGGCCGATAAACACCCACCAGCCCCTTTACCTATTCAGACCCCCCTTACATCAACCCTTAATTATAGCCCTTCTGCTAACCTTATAGTATATAACTCAGACTCTCTACATAACTCTAGAGCCCTTACCGCTAAAACCCCAAAGCCCTAGACCGCACAAAACAACTGAACCCCTTACACCCCGTCCCCATCCCCGCTTAAAGGATCATGGGACTTAGTAACTAGGGTTATAATTACGGTAACTATACTTATAACCCCAATTAAGGTACTTATAACCGTACTTACTAGTGTAAGCCCCATGATCCTCCAAGCGGGGCCCATATCAACCCCAGGGTCATCATGTGGTGCGTCAGCGCGTAGCCGCTCTCGGTGATGTTAAGCTCTTGAGCACCCCGGCTTCCTTTGCTCTTGCGGGAGGTACTACAAGGGTTTCCACAAAACACACGTACTACAGGGTTCCAAAAAGGGCTCCTAGTAGGGATTTGGGGTTCGGGATTCGGGGTTCAAGGTTCAGGATTTAGGGTTGAGGGTTTAGGGGGTGTAGGGTATATGCCTAGGATTTAGGGTTCAAACTTGATGGGCGCAGAGTTTAAATGTTAAGTGTTGAAGTTTTCTGTCTATGCCACAGGTGTTGTGACATCGATATCTTTTCCGAAAGGATTCTGCGCGAACATGCTTGCGTTGGGGTCTTGATGAAACTTAACTGCTGAGCCAGACTCCTTCTGCCAGGTGCGGGAAGTAGCCCAGACGAATGTTGTCACCTTGCAGAACCAGGCTGGCGGGTGGCTTCATCTGACCCTAAACCTCTAAGGACTCATATTGAGGCTTTGCGGCCCAAAGACCATACTACATAAGGCTTTGGGCTATTTTGAACCCCAGGGTGAAGACTTGGCTCCTAGACTATCCTCGGCCCAGAAACCAAAGCAGTCAACTGCAGACCACGGCGCTCTTAAAGATCATATCGTAGTGGGAGGACTGGTCGTAGTAATCCTTCTGATTCGCCTGACCTGCACAGATCAAGAGGGAGGCGCTGGCCTCTATGGCATGTTTGGACGTTGACCCTGATTCTTCTTCTAATTGTTGACATCATTCGTCCTGTGACCTAAACCCCCAAACCCTGAACTCCTACAAACCCCTATATAACCCCCTAAACCCCCTACGCCCCTAAACCCAACAGATCCCTTAAAGGAACCTTATAAACCCTAAACCCCTAAACCCTAAACCCCTAAACCCCTACGGTTCCCTAAACCCCTAACCCCCTAAACCCTATAGATAACCCAAAGGAACCCTATACTTATAAACCCTTCTCAACCCCATAGATGTCTTAAAGGAGCCCTTACCGACCCCAAACCCTGACCCGAAACCCTGAACCCCTATGAACCCCTAAACCCCCTAAGCCCTATAGATCCCTTAATGGAACCCTTACAAACCCTGATAAACCCTGACCCCTAAACTCCCGTTACTACGCCCCCTAAACCCTAAACCCTATATATCCCTTAAAGGAGCCCTTACAAACCCCAACCTGCGCCTGCCACCTCAAACCCTGTAGATCCCTTAAAGGAGCCCTTACAAATCCCAAAGCCCCTAAACTCTATAGATCCCTTAAAGGGACCCTTACAACGCCTAAACCCACATCCGAAACCCGCGCCTGCAACCTCCTGGGCACGGGTCAGCCCAGCCGTGGCCACCGCCCGGCGCGGTCCGAAGACGAGACTTCTGGGAACTCCTGACTCAAGGTTCCCAAAAGGGTTCCTTTAAGGGATCTAGAGGGTTCAGGGTTTAGGGGTTTAGGGTTTACGGGTTAGGGCTTCTATAAGGGTTCGGTTAAGGGATCTAGAGGGTTTAGGGTTCAGGGGTTTAGGGTTTAGGGGTTTAGTGTTTAGGGGTTTAGGGTTTGGGGGTTTAGGGTTTCAGGCTTCAAGGTTTAGGGGTATACGGCTTAGGGCTTCTATAATATAAGGGCTTCTACAAGGGTTCCTTTGGGGGATCTGTTGGGTTCAGGGGTTAGGGTTGGGGGGTTTAAGGGTTTAGGGTTGGGGTTTGGGCTTTTGTTGTCTGTTTGGGGATAAGATAATCAGATTACCATGTGAAGGGTTTATTTGTTGGACTCCTTGTAGCAGAGGAGGGACTTGAAGGTTTCAATCAGATGGCGGCTTGTCATCTGGAGTTTGGGGTATATTTTGGGGTGATGCAATGATTTTCTGATGTTCAACTCTTTTCTATGGATTGGTTTTCGGGCCGACAAGCGGCTCAGTTTGGGTGTTCATGGGTCGTACCGGCTTGGATTGATTTTGTGGCCAATGGTTCAAGGCTTTGATCAGTCGTCCAACGATGAACAGAGGAAGCAGCAGTAGCACTGGCAGCATTAGTCAAAGTAGGAGAAGGAGCAGGACTAGGAGTAGGAATGGAGTAGGAGGAGCAGGTGGAAGAGAAGGAAGAGGAGCAGGAGTGGGAGGAGTAGTAGGAATAGGGTAGGAGCAGAAGCAGCAGCCGCAGCTCTAGGGGCAGGCGAACGGCACTCAGGTCTTGGAATGAAGAGCTCGGCTTTTCTTGGTTTCTGCTGGTCCCTGGTTCGCAACACCTAAGTTAGCCCCAGGGTATCGGCCTTATAGCTCCCCATATATAAGAGTCTTGAAAATTAAGACCAGGTGTTGGTACTAAATTGCTCATACTAGCGACTATTATAAGGGAATCATCTCACTTGCATTACTTGGGACTTTGGCATGCTGTTGTACGTCGGGTTCCCAAGGTCACACGACAAGAGGTAGGGTTTAGGGTTTAGGGGTTTAGGGTAGGCTCTTAGGGGCTTGTATGCAGCTTTTGAATGGAAGTGGCTGGAGGGCAGATCCACTTCACTCTGCTACTCTGCAAAGGTGGGGCCAACTCTACATGCAAATGCGATACTGCAAGCAAGTTCTTGAAGCCGACCATGCGACAAATGAAAATACACACGTCATAGCAGACAGGTGTATGTGGCTATAGCTGACTACAGTGCTGTGTGCAGCAGTTTCCGTATATAGAGTGGCCAATTTAACAACACACAGCCGCCACGCATGCCACGACAAAGCAGCTCCTGAACGGAACAGCGAGCTCGCAAGAGGCTTGAAGCGAGGTAACATGCCAGCCATGGCCAGGTAGAAAGAGTAGAACCCAACCCAAGCGCACGACTATCAAACCTGGAAAGGCTGCTTCCGACGTCATTCTCGCTATCATTCTCGAGTTCTGAATGCCGGGCCGTGAGATCAAGTTGCTTCTGAATGCCGGGCCGTGAGAGCAGAATGGTTTTGTTTGAACAGCGAAGAATGAGAGCTCGAGCCACGGCATGCATCAGTGTAAAAACCCTAAACCACTAAACACTAAACCACTAAACCCTAAACCCGCAGACCCTAAACCCTATAAACCCGAAATCGGCACAGCTGAATGCCGAATCAGTAAGCGCTGCAACAGCTTTGCAGTACCGGGTAGATCTCTCTTGATTGATTCTGTGTCGGGTTTCAGGTTCTTCGGGTGTCAATATGATGAGCCTGCCTCGTAAGCTATCAGAAATGCGGGGGGGGCATCTGAAGCAATGGGGTTCTCTTTTCAAGGATCCTCAAGAAAGGGGCTGCAACTTCTCCAAGCCTCTCTATCCCGCATCTCTAAGCCCCAAACAGTTGCTTGCTAAACGCAAAACCCCTCGTCAAACCCTAAATCACATAAACAACCCTCCCCCTAAGGCTCAAAATGGCCCACAGGCCTTATAAATTTTGGTCTTCAGGCCCAAAAGCCTTAAAGTATGCGTCCTCAGAGCCTTACTTAAAGGATCATGGGACGTAGTAACTATGGTTGTAGTCAAGGTCACTATACTTATAACCCCAATTAAGGTACTTATAAGCTTACTTACTAAGTCCCATGATCCTCCAAGTAGTACCCTAAACCCTATAGATCCCTTTAAGGAACCCTATAGATCCCTTTAAGGAGCCCTTTAAGAACCCTTACTAAGTCCCATGATCCTCCAAGTAGGGTTCGAAACCACCGAGCTTCTTTCTGCGAGGCATCGATCGACCTTCTCCGTCCACGCACGGAGCTCCATCTCTGGCCAGACTTTAGGATCCACCTGGACCCCAAATAACCATGTGCCTTTCTAGAGTTGCCTAATCTGATTTCTCTGTATAGATCTTTAAAAGATAGGTTATTTGCGGTTAAGGTAGTAGGGCTGGATACCATAAGCTCTCAGCAAACTGTAAATCTTTGTATACCTCCGCTCAACCCGAAACTATCTGAGGCTTCGACTTTCCAGATCCCTTTCCCTAAGGCTCTAAGCTCTAAGAACTCATATTTTAAGGCTTTTGGGCCTAAAGACCATATTTCACAAGGCTTTTGGGCCATTTTTGAGCCTCAGGGTCTGTGTACCGATTCAGGTGGTTCAGCACCTGCGACAAGAGCGTTAAGGTCTTCCTGGAGCACCCTCAAGGGTTCCTTGAAGCTTTTCTTTCCTTAAAGGAATCAGGATCCTATTGTATTTCGTTGTTTGTACTAGTATTAGGTTTTGTATTTATGAAGGCTTTTGTAAAATATTACTATTACTACTACTATACTCACCAGGATCCTATTGTATTTCGTTGTTTGTAGTGGTATTAGGATTTGTATTTATGGAGATACGATATTTGTAAACTATTACTATTACTACTAACTACTTTTAGACTCTATTAGACTCACTATGATTATTGTTATCATCATCACTACCAAGCCCTGCCTTCCCTGGTCCATTGCAGAATCTGAGCAGAAAAGGACACACCCTCTAAACCCAAGGCCCAAAACCCAACAACACCCACCCCGGGATAACGCTAAACCCCTAAACCCCTAAGCCCGAAACCCTAAACCCAAAAGACCTGAACCCCAGCCCTGATTGCAAAAAAAAGGACTTGGCTTAGCTTTGTGCTTGAAGCTTCGGCGACTTATGATGGAGTCCGTATGGCCCTTTGGGGTATGTTAAAGGGTAGTTGGAGGGTCTAGGTTATGGAGTTGGACGGCTGCTAGAGTGTGTAGGAAGTCGTGTAGGCTTGACGATTCAGAGCCTGCCTAAAGTATTGAACTACATCTGCAAGTACCTACAACTCCAGCTAGGGTAGGCAGGTATGCATAACCTGAGTTGCTGACTGCTCAGCCCCTTGGCCCCTAACTACATCCAAAACCTCGTAGACCCCAAACACTATCCTTGAACACATAAAGCCCTAATGCCAAACCTTAACACCTCAATGCTGAACCCCACGAGTGCCTGAAAGACGCGGGAGACTGACCGAGTGCATGGAGCCTCAGGAGACGCTGCAGCAAGACATCGACGGTTTAAGGGCTGAGGGCTTCAGAGCTTGGGGTTTACAGTGCTAGCACCATGTAGAGCTTGGCATTTGAGGGTTTACGAATGCTGAAGGATTTCCGGTCTTTGCTAATTAGCTGCTAATTACAGCTTTAGGGGTTCAGGGGCTTATCACTGCCTAGAGCTTCTGTTACAAGCTCTTCAACTTATGTAGGGTTGTAGCATAGGGGCCTTTAACTGTGACACAGGGTTTGGGGGCGTATTTTCTTCCATCATCAAAATAAGGAACCTGCAGGTATCCGGAATTAGGTTTGTGAACATAGGAGTCCAGAAGTAAATGGTCGCGTTCCAAACAAACAAAACTTAAAACAAAACGTGCAAACACACAGACACATACACGGACGAAACTACAATAGCAACAAACGAACAAGCTAGAAGTAAATGAGCATAGCCATCAGTATAGTAGTCACAAGCACACGAGTCAAGTCAAACCGAAGCAGGCAATAGCATCATGTTAATACCATTCACACAGCAGAGAATATGAAGCGGCATGATCATACCTAGGGGCGTTTGAGTAGCAGTGAACACACGAGCTACCTACAGATGCATGTGCATACGTGTGCGTTTGGACGTACATGTGTAGTAAAATGCATCTGTCTGCTTATCTGTGTAACTATTTCACACATTGTATGTACGCATTTGGGTAGGTAGGTGGGTAGGTAGATGTGCGTTCGTGTACGTACGTATGTATGCATGCATGTATGTATCATGTGCTTCTGTTTGCAAGCATGCATGTATGTATGTATGTACGTATACGTAAAGCTGCCCAAATTGTGGCACTACGAACTTATTCACACCATGGGGCACGATGATATGCCGCGACGGTTGCAACAAACTGAACGAAACATAGAAAATGTCTACAACAAGAACATTAGTGAGACATGCTTCCGGCAGGTGTACTCCGGTACGTGGCATCCAGCTACAGCCCAACATTCACGATACAAACCCTAAACCCGAAACCCTAAACCTTAACCCTAAACCCTGATCCTTAAACCTTAACCCTAAACCCTAAACGCTAAACCCCCAACTTTTAAGTGCCAGTCGCTTGCTTCAGGCTTCTTTATCCAGCTCAGCGTGCAAAAGTGGAGGTCCGAATTGTCAAGGTCGCTGCTGAGTTTTGCAACACCCTGAAACCTAAACCTGACCTATCTATATGGTTTCGTGTTTTTGGATGTTGCACTTCGCAGGATCAGTTCCTGACAAACGTTGTTGGCTTCGCCGGGAGGGAGCCGCGGTATGTAGGGGGCCTAACAAGTAGACCGGGGTTTGGGGCCGAGTACTGTTCTCTGCCTATAGAGGGAACCCTGTAAGCCCCGGAAGCCCTAAAGAAGCGAACACATGCTGGGCTTGCAGGCTCCTCCGGGCTCACCGGATGCATGGTCACAGTGTTGACTTGGCAGGCCTCGCCACGCGTCTTTCTGCTTTTGTTATAACGGATTTCGGCTTCAAGGCTTTGGTGAAGTCTACTTTTTTGGGGGCAATCGCATCGGCCAAGTGCTGCTACTGATGAGGGCCACGCTACAGTACAAAGGTCTGAAGATGAAGTAGTAGTTTCCCGGAGCAGTCCTATACAGATATGACTAACTCGAATATGTCCCAAGCCCGCATTCCCTTCCAGACCTTGCTTGCACGCTTCGGAGAGTAGGGGACTAGCTGACATTTCCACGATATAGAAGTTCAGGTAGACGCCGATGTTCCAAACCAGAAAACCAAACAAGACAACAGAGGGCCAGACTGTCAAAACTGACCAACAGCCCTAACCCTAAACCCTAAACCCCAAAACCCCTAAACCCAAACCCCTACACCCTAAACCCTAAACCCTAAACCACCCTTGAACCTCTGCACCCCCCTAAACCCCTAGTATGCATTTGCGGATCGAGGCCCCGGCCAGCCCCTGATCACTTCGAGCATGGGCGCCCTGCCTCAGGAAGGGCTCTTCCCTGATTTGGGCTTAGGGTTTAGGGTTTAGGGAAATCTGAAAGTGTTCTATGTAACTTGTCGTAGGAATTGCCAGGAGTGGCATTCAGCACCTTCAGGTAGTCTCTTTACAGAGGATTCTCTAGTGTGACTTCTCATGAACTGCCATGATGCACAAGAGGCTTTCAGGGCTCTATATGGTTTTATGAGGCTTCTACAGAATTTCAGGTTGGCTCCCCTCTAGTAATGTATGGATTTCTATTTAGAGAGTTGAGCTTGGGGTTTGTGATTTGGGTAATTCGGTACTCCTGCTTAGCGTTCGGGTTCGGGGTTGTGGTATGCAAGTTGTAACAGACGGAAGTCTCAGAACACGCCAGGAAAGCTTCCAGTTCAAGCACAACCGACAAAAGGACAAGCAGTAACAACAAACACAAGAACTGCGACGGCAACGGGACACCCGCGATTCGTAAGCCTGAGCTTGGTCTTATTATTAGCACCCACTATTATTGTCATTATTCGTATCCAAGCGTTCTTTACCACGGCTTATAGTGCGCATGGCCCGAGACTCAGTTCCCAACAACTGCCGGCGCTCGACGGCAAAGGCATGCATCCAAGCACTGATGCCTCGGCGAACGTAGGGGCCTTAATAATTAGAAGAGAGTTTTGGGCCCATTATACTATACTTATGATAAGGAACCCCAAAACAGTATCGGTAATTATTTAGGCCCCTGAATGATGGTTTCGTGTTCGGTTTCGGGCCTCTGAAACGTCTCCCCAGGTTGTGAAATCCTTTTGGTCTGTCGGCGGTCGGTCTCCTTCCATTCATGGCGCAACCCCCATTTAGGCTTTATAGGGTATAGGCTAAGGGTCCAGGGTTTAGGAATTTACCCCAAAGGCTTCCAAAAGAGACCAGACAGTCGTCAAAGCCCCAACACCGTCAGTGCAAACAACAGACGAAACTTAATCCACATCGAATCCGGAGTATCGTCCGAACATCCTGAGCACTCGTGCCAAAAAGAACGAATGCACACATTCCTGTTAATAGGCAGAGCATATCGGAGCCATGAGTAGACGCATCATGAAAAAACACAAGGAGCACCACCCGGATCCCGTGGGCGCCTGCTGCCATGTTCGACAGTTCGCCGAATACCTGGGATATGCTATAAAAGCTTCCCGATTCCATCGGTTTTGGAGTTAAGGACTTGGCTCTTGAGGCAGGTTTCAGGTTTTAGGGGTTTTGTCAGAGCGTTCCTACACATTCACGTTCGTGGTTTTAAGGGTTCTTCTCGAGCCTCTCGGGGCAATGAGAAGTCGAGGCGAAGAGTTTCATCAAGGCCATTTAAGTGCGCTTGAATCCGCCATGAGCTAGCTTGCGTTTCAGACGGGGATCTCCTTCATAAAGGGTTGTATTTCCAGCGGCCCATCCTTTGACCGGAATATTTTTATCAACTCCCACATCCTAACTGGCGATTGCCGGCTCCCTACGCCGTAAACTCCTAAACTTAAACCTTATAAACCCTAAACTCCTAAACCCTAAACTCCTAAACCCTCAACTCCGAACCGTAAACCCTAAACCCCTAAACTTTAAACCGTAAACCCTGAGCGCTCGGCGCTGTGTGGTCCGTGGGCCGCCAGACGCGAGATGACTTCCGGCGCCTACCCGCAAAGAGTTGGTTCGGGTTAGTGTTCGGATTTTGTAAACGGGAGTTTCCGAAAATAGGGGACCCTAATAAGGTACCCTAAATAGTAGGATTCTTACTATAAGGATCCCCAAAATAAGGTACCCCTAATTTTGGGAAACTCCCAAGCCGATTTTCTGTAAACCCGAACACCTAAATCCGAAACCAGTTGACGGTAGAATTTGGTGCTTCGAGCTTAGATGAGCTCAAAAAGCCCCCTCGCCTTCGGCCAAGACTAGAAGCCTGGTTTCTTGAAGTTTTCGGATGTCGAACTTTGATCTTTGAGGGTTGAAGGTTTAGGGTTGACGAGTTGGGGTGTCTACAATTATGGAGTTAGTAAGCCGTAAGCCCCAAACACATCTTCCATCAGTTTGCGCGCCCTCAGAGCCAAAAAAGGAACAGTAGCTTTAATCATACCTTGGAGCAATTGTGATAACAGAACTCGTCTAATTCCGCAGAGCACTAACGATTTCTCATTCCTTAGGAGCGCATCTCCAAGCGTCCGCCTTTCTCAGTCAAGCTGGTGCAGGGACTCTCATATAGGCGCCTTAAGATTTACAATACGGGTCTTTAATTCAAGAGTCTCTACAAAGGGACTACAAGGTGTTACGGGGTTTATGGCGTGTTATCGGGCTTGTTATTATAGGTCCTATAGGTGCCTTAATTCCCATGAAGAGCTCGGAAACAGAATCCCATAAAGCCCCGAGCAGCCCCATGAACCCCCACAGCGGCGGTCTAAAACCTGCATGAACTTTCAAAACTGAGACCGGTGCCGAGAGGAGCGCAAAGATATCTCGGGGCAAGACGAAGAAGTGAGGATCCAGCCTGCATCATACAGGGTCCTTAATACTTATAACAGGTTTTGGGAGTATACTCATGCTGTAAGTATGCTATATATCGGCCCCTAAATCAGGGCTTTTATCAGGAACCTATCAGACTACCAGGGGTCTTTATGGGGCTTTACAAGTCTTTATGGTGTTGATAGGATTCGATACTACTATTTCGGGTTCTATGGAAGAGTCCTTGACTTTCTGCCGGTCACTTTAACCATTTTGCTTTGTAGAAGCCTGCATGCCCCGTAGCATTAACCCATACAGGCCCATACAGTTCCTCACAATATCTACACCTGTATCTGGATAATATAAATATAGCCCAAAGCCTTTTTTCTAATCGCTATGGCCACTAGATTTGGCTCAAGGTTGTGACGCTGGAGGGGTTTAAGGATTCAAGTGCTGGTGGTTCTCCAGGCGAGGTTCTTAGGCTTGGGGGTTATGGTGCAGGTAGGGGTTTTGGGGTTGGGGATTTAGGGTTTAAGGTTTAGGGCTTAGGGTTTAGGGCTTAGGGGTTAGGGGGTTTTGGGGGTTATGGTGCAGGGCACTGGTGCAGGGACTAGGGCTTAATGACTTTTGTTTTGGTGTCTTGAAGTTCTGAAGTTTTGTCGTTTTTGGCTTGTGAGCTGTGCTGACTCTTTTGCATCTGCCCGGAAACGATGCACAATTCGTACTTGACATTCCCAAGTCCACCTCAGTTTATCAGCACGAGACCTTGAGGTTTTCAGCATTGTGGTATCGGGGTTTGGAGTCTGGAGTGAGTGAGTGAGTGGCACGTGCAGGGACCGGGCCACGCCGAAGGCGCCATCCCGAAGGTTTTTCTAAAACAAAATTCCCCCCTGCGCTTGCCAAAACGGGGGTCCCCTGTGGTGGCGGCATTTGCCTGATCTCAGTGGAGTTAGATGCCAGAGCACTCCTGCGTGAACGGCAGATCCCATTGCGGTGTGCTGCAGCCTGCGAATCTGTGCTCATCGACCCAGCCTGTTTGAGCTGGGCCGGATTTATGGAACGCTCCTCAACGGATATAGGAAGCTCCTTAACTAGAAGGCAGCGGTGGTTTTAGGATTTGGGCTTCGCCCATGATTCCCTAAACCTAAACAAATGAACCCCTGTACCTACAAACCTCGAAACCCTCACCCCACCCAACTCCAGCAAGGTCCGAAACCTTAACAGTAATCAAGTTATCCTACAAGGTTCGGGAGAGTTGCCAAAGGCTCCAACATCCGTCAGATAAGCAATACTCCGTAAAACATTCTTCCTCTGCAGGGTTTTACTGCTTGGTGAAGAGGGGTTGGATTCTCTCCTTATTGGACCCCGACCTGGTCAAGAGTTTAGGGCTTTAGGGCTTAGTATTCCTTCCTTTCTTCCTTGCTTCCGTCCTTCCTTCCTTCCTGCTTTTCTTCCTGCCTTACTTCCACGATGTCGGGTCATCCAGGTGAGCCTCCAGCTGCGCTGCTGCTGCTGCTGCCACGATCCCAGGACCTCGCGGCAAGACCCCCCGACACATGAAACCTGGGTTTTTGACAGAGTTTTGTAGGGTTCTACATGGAAGTGAGAGTGTCTGTATGCGTTCAAGGCTTTGTCCTATCTACTGAATCTACTGGTGGGATGCGCGAATGCTGCGCTAGTGACTCCCCCTCCTATACAGGGTGGTTCAGCTGGATGGCAAGCTCGCCTTCTTCCATGTACGGTGCCGAAGCGCAAACCCCTCTAATAGCCTCGACACCCTGTGCCGAGCCGACAGAAGCCTGCTATAGGGGCCTAAATCATTACCCATATTATTTTGGGTGTTCCCGATTATAAATGTGGCATAGTGGGCCCCAAAACCCTATTCCAATTATTAAGGCCCCTAAACTACACCCTTATAGTTACAGTAATCCGTATACAGCCCCTTTCAAAATAACCCTTTAAAGGGACCCCTAGATTGTACGAAAAGCCTTTCATAGCCTTGGGAGCCCTTGGGGGCGGCCTTGCGCCCTGCTGGCTCCAACTGCTGCAGCTCGCCCAGGAAGCCCTCGGCGCGCACGAAGACGTCCTGCCTTGGAAGAGGCCTTATAAAGGGGTCTATATGGGTTACTATAAGGGATCTATAAGGGTACTATAATATGGGGGCCTTAATAATCCTATCCCTTACCTTTGGTTAGTAGGGAATGGAAGAATGGGGTACAATTATGACGACTACTACCATTCTTCAAGTCCCTGCTAACCAAAGGTAAGTTTATTTTGCTGGGCTTGGTTTCAGGGCTTAGGGTTTAGTTGTTCTTAAGGATAGGTTTCCGCCTAGATTTTGTGGGCTGGAGTTTTGTAGTGATCTACGAGGATTAAGGGATCTTGCTAAGGAACTTAACCTAAGTTACCACAGCGAGGAAGACGATTCTGTTCGATTTACTACCCGCTATAATAGTAACCTGAAAAAGTATAGAACCGGCTGTCCCTACATTTTATGCGCAGCCTTGCTTGTCCGATTTGTGTCTTTCGTGCAGGAGTTCGCGATCTCGGTCTTGCGGAGCGCCTAAATTAGACCCTAAACCCCGGAAACCCTCAAACCCCAAAATCCCTAAACCCCCAAACCCTAAACCCCAACCCATCCCTAAACCCCAAATCTCTGAACCCCTAAGGCCCCGAACCCCTAAGGCCCCGAACCCCCAAACCCTAAACCTCTGAAGATCTTGCCGAGCGACCTCGTGACCAGAAGCCAGCGAAAGTGGAAGTCCCGGAGCAGCCCCAAAGCCTCGAAAAGGGTCAGCAAAATACACGAGTTCGGGTTGGCTTAAGGGCTTAGGGTTTTGGGCTTATATTTAAGGTTTAGGGTTTATAACTAAGGTTTAGGGCTTAGGGTTTTGGGCTTATAATTCAGGTTTAGGGTTTATAACTAAGGTTTAGGGCTTAGGGTTTATAGGGCTTAGGGTTTGGGGTTATAACTAAGGTTTAGGGCTTAGGGTTTTTAGGGCTTAGGGTTTAGGGGTTAGGGTTCCCTTTAAGGGTCCATTGAAGGGATCTACAGGGATTCTATAAGGGTATAGGTTTTAGGGCTTTTACTTGGAGGTTCATGGGCAGTTATAAGTGGGGTTATAAGTCCCCTAATATGGGTTATACTTACGGTCACCCTGCTTATAACCCCCATTTATAACTACTCATCATGACCTCCAAGCATACTAGGGCGTCGCTTTTCTTTGGGGCGTTGACTCAAACTTCACGAGAAATTATTGAAATCAGTGCAAGAGCAGCGGCTTGCAATAGCACCAGAAGCAACAATAGTCTCAACACTGACTGAGCCTGATACTCGCAGCAGATAAGCACCGACAGGAAGAACCGCGGGAACGGTATGAACTGATCGTTATGCTGCAACAGTAACGTGGTATGATAGTGAACAGTCACAAAGAGAAAACGTATAATACAACACAAACTGGAGATTTCGCATATCGGCAGCAGCAGTGTAGTAGTAACAAGAGGACAGAACGGATGAAGGTGCAGAAAAAGGTGATTCTCAGCTGAGCAGGGGTGTCTCGAGACTTCGCACTTTCAACGACTAGGTCTTCCGGTGCAACGATAACAACGAGGAACAACAATAACTAATTTACGGTTTAAGGTTCACGGGCTGAGGTTTAGTGACAGTTTACACTTTAGCGGTTAGCTGACGGGCCCCACACTGACATGCTGTCGAGCACAGAAACCAAACGCAATCATTTGCTCCGGAAAAGGGCTCCATTTCAATTTGCTACTGCGGTTGAACACAACATCTTTGGACAGTGTCGGTGCAAAGCTACTTTCTTGTAGTTGGCGTCCTTGCTCTGACTGACTTCGCCCCACCCCCCCAACACTAAAGTACCAAGTAAAATAGGGGCCTTAATGATTAGAATAGGGATTTGGGGCCCTTTATACTATATGTACGGAAAGCAACCCCCAAAATAGTATATACCAGTATAGGTACTTATTTCGGCCCCTAGATTAACAGGAAGGTCCTGCAGCAGCTGATCCGTGGTGGCTTCTTGTCCAGTGGCAGCGGGCGACAATCTGCAAAGTGAGCACAGGGACCCTTACACCCTATAAGCCCTATAGATTCCCCCAAAAGGAGCCCCTTAAAGGAACCCTTGAGGGAACCGTATTTGGGTACATGGACCCTTAGGTCCTTAGGTTTCCGTGGAATTTCTGAGCAGTGCCTCAGCAGAGTCGCAAGTTAAGTGCAGTGCTTATGTGGGCTTAGTGTTCTCATTGGTTTGGGGGCTTTGGGGTTGTTGCGGATTTTGCGGGCTTCGGGTGCAGGAAATAGGGTGCCTATGATAGTGCCTATGGGCTTTGTAGATCCTTTGAGCGTTTAGTGTTGAGGCTTGGCGGCTTAGAGTCTGTATTGAGTCTGTTGGGTCTGGGCTACAGGGAGCGAGGTATGATGCAGGTCTTGTATCACAGAACGTAGGCTGTTTCTACTTACATTGTTACATGTGCTGTCTGCCACAGCTCGCAGACCTGTTGGCACGAACTAACCGAAATGTCCACTGCTACTAGTATGTCAGGTTGCAGAGTCTCGCGCGCGTGTGTGTAGTACAGCCCAGTAGAAGCCTAGAAAGCCCCAGAACATCCTCAGCGCCAAACGCCCCAACTCCAGACCCCGAAGCCCTCGTAAACAACCTCGGGCTTAGGGTTTAGGAAATCAAAAGTTTAGGGTTTAGGGTCTTAAGCCACCCAAAGTCTGGACCCTAAAACCCTGCAGCCTAGAAATCCAAATCCTAATTCTCAAAACCCTCAAAACCCTTGTAGAATCCCTCAAACACCATGTGCAATGCTGCAAGTAAACCTAAACCCGAAGTTACGACCTCGTGGCAGCTGGCAGAACAAGGATGTCCTCTGCAATCATCGGCTCCGGCATCAGTATATGGCTTATAGAGACTCCACGGTTATCCATAGGGTTACCTTAGGGTCTAGGGTTTAAGGGTTTAGGGTTTCAGGGTATCCATAGGGTTTTAGAGAGTTGAGGGAGTTTTGGCAGGATTTAAATGAGGTTTCTATACGATTTTCTGGGGTGCCTATTAAGCTATTTTGAACCGCCTTACTTGGTGTAGTTTTTTGGGATCCCTCTAAGGGTTCTGATGATAATTCTAGGGTTCCTTTCAAGATTCCTTTGCGAATTCTACAGGGGTTCTGTTGAGAAACTGGACGGCGTTAGTTCTTCGACGTCTCCTGATCCAAAGTTATTTCACAGCTTCATTGTCTTCATCAATGTCTTCAATATGATCATCATTCCCGTCATCGTCATTGGCCACTGGCAGCACCAGCAGCAGCATCATCGTCACCATCATCATCACCATGGCCGTCTCTAACTACAATGACCACAACCGTCCTTGTTCACCATGTCCAATGTCATGACTACCACCGCGATCAACATCGCACTCTCTGCTACTCGGCACACATGGGGTCGTCGTGCTGACGGTCGTAAGCGGGTGGTCCTGATGGGCATCCTGCTCCTCCTGCAGAGCGTTGTGGACACCAGCCTGCACGTTGGAGCACCCTTTGAAGATCTACTATACGGGCCTCAATATCTACCAATACTATTTTGGGGGTTCCTTACTATCACTATAGTATAATGATGGGCCCCAAAACCCTCTTCCAAATCATTAAGGCCCCTCTATTTAGCTTCGGCTCTGGCTAACAAAGTTCCAATCCTTTGAAAGCTCTGCGACGAAGAGTCATGGCTCAATGAGCAGCTTCGAGGAAGCCCTATCAAAGCCGATACTTTACCACCCTTAGAACCATAAATAAAAATAACATTGTTAATATTCTCTTGGGTTTTATATGAACAAAAATGACAAACCATTTCCGAAGGAGACTATAGGATAAATAAACAAATTTGAAATCCCAAACAAAAGCAGGATTCTATCGGTACCCTTTTTGGCCTCGTCCACACGGGGATGGACTGCGAAGACCCAGCGAAGAGAAGCCACCTTTTTGGGGATTTGGGGTAATTTGGGGCTTAGGGCTTGGGGGTTAGGATTTAGGATATTTACGAATTAGGCTTTACGTTTAAGGATCAGGCTTTGGTGGTGCCAAGTTATGGGTTTGAGTTTAGCTCCAAAAGTTTTGCTATAGGGGCTGATGAGGGCTATTAAAACACATCAACAGGTCGTCCAGTTGTTGCTGGGTTTGCAGGTTGGGCGGGTCTTGGGTTTTATAAATAGGCTGCGGGGTTTGGCACGAACCCTTGTTGAATCCGTACAGAACCTTCATAGAACCCTAGGGCCCTAGGGCGTAGTTTGTACGGTTTTGAGGCTTTCGAAACCCTGAGGCCTTGGGCTGGGGCTTAGATAGGAACAGGGTTTCAGGTGCGGCAGTGTTGTAGTATCGCTACCTCTGGGCTCACGTATTCTGAGCCTTGAAACGGCGAACGGGCCTTGTATCAACAGAGATCAAGTCTTCAACAACAGAACCCCAAACCGCGACACCCCACATGCCAAACTCCAAAACCCTCTGCTGAGGGTGCGGACGCCTGCCAGCGCCGCAAATCTCTGCAGCCAGGACCTGAACAACAAAAACCCTGAACCAAAACCCTCATCGCTAGCTTGAGATCAGTTTTCACGGCTTAGGATATAGGGCTTCGAAGCATCGGAAGGCCGGAATTCTTGGAGACTCAGGCTCTGAGATGTTGAGTTTCATAAGTTGCATAAGTCTTCCGTGTTCCGGGTTTTGTAAGAAACTTTAGAGTGTTAAGCACCATACTTTGCAGGTCATCCAAGGAGGGAATGGACACTGTCCTTACCTAATATAGATGCCTATATGATTCCACTGTTATTGCACGGGCTTTCTTCACGCAGTCACAATATACGATAACACCCACAAACCTGCTCGAATTCTTAAGGCCGCCACACTAAACCCGTATAGTACCCCTCAACGGCGCCTTTAACAGCAACCTTATTCCCATAGCAACCCTTACGGTGTCCTTTGTATTTCGGTCCCCAGCCCGGGGACCCTGCTGACTGCGCAGCACGCTGCGAAAGGCCCGGCCGACCGCATCCGCGGTGGTCAGCACAACCTGGAAGCTACTATGGGCGCCTTTGGAGTTAGAATACTTGGGATCCTTTAAGGAGCTCCTTAAAGGGATCTATAAGGGTACCTTAAAGGGATCTATATAAGGGTTCTTGAAAGGTTTAGGGGTTTAGGGTTTAGGGTTTAGGGTTTAGGGTCATGGGACTAAGTAAGTAAGGTTATAAGTACATTAATTGGGGTTATAAGTCTAGTTACCAAAATTATAACCCTAGTTACTAAGTCCCATGATCCTTTAAGTACGGTTTTGTAGGATATACTGTACAGCTATGAGAAGGAGCCGTGGGGAGCAATATTGGTAGTTGTTCAGGCTGTTGTTTTTACCATTTCAGTGCGTTCGGATGTTTGGGTCTTAAGGCTTCTTAAGAAACTTAGGGCATCCGGGCTTGAAGGTTCTTGGAGTCCTAGGGAATTTTCGGGTAAAGGCTTGGACGAAAGCACTGCCAGGAACCTTCTTTACATGCCATCTAATATGGCTTTGTATTGAGGATGTCGGGAGACTTCAGCAGAGTTGATGCTTTAGGGTTGGCCCTTACAGGGTTCAGGGTTTATATTCTGGCAAAGTACAGTCGAACGAGGAGTTGCTGAAATCAGCAACCTCTGCAAAAGAATCCAAACCTAAAAAAACCTTGGCCCTTGCTAAGGATTCGAACCCAGGTCAACACAACAAAGCCCTCATACGGTTTCATGAAGGTCCAGGTTTGTAAAACGGTTGATCGAGTTCTCAGAGGGGTTTTGGTCTACTTGACGGGTCATCGGACTGAGGGTAATGTATGCTACAGCTACAAGTAAGAGTACCTAAAGAGCCTTCCTCGCGAAGTCCCCATGGTCGTTCAAGCAGAAGCGTTTGAGGCTACGCTATCTTTTCCGAGTGTTTAGGGTTTAGGGGTTTACCGGCTTACAGTTTATGCAATGCCGGGGTTTTTCCTTTCTTACTTTTACACGATGACTTGTTCTCTGATAGAAACCCAATAGCATGAACGGCAAGCCCCAAACCTAAACACCAAAACGGTTAAACCTGATAGCACCAATTCTTTGACGGGGTAGTTTGACTTTCCCGAGTATCCCAGCAAGCACATGAGTACCCTTTCTCACAGTACTGTATTCAGTTTCGATAAGGAGACCGCAAGAAAGGGTACAAAGGCATTATTACCTACTGGGGGATCGAGAAACCCTACAAATCCCATATAGCCTCCCATAGAAACCTGGAAGGAATCCCTGAAGGAACGCTTAACGGAATTCTTCAAGGAATCCCTAAACCTTGGAATTCTATGTAGGATTCCATGACATTCTATTTTTCAACCCGGAATTCTTCAAGGAATTCCCTAAACCTTTGAATTCTAGGATTCCATGACATTCTATCCCTAAACCTTTGAATTCTATGTAGGATTCGATGACATGCTACCCCTAAACCCTAAACAACACCAGGGATCCCACGGCGAAGAGCTGAGCGAAGGGGACCGGAGGAGCCTTGGACATGGAGATGTTAAGGATTCTTTGGGTTTTAGGGCTTTTTGGGGTTTAGGGTTTAGGGGATGTTAAGGATTCTTTGGGTTTTAGGGCTTTTTGGGGTTTGGGGTTTAGGGTTTAGGGGATGTTAAGGATTCTTTGGGTTTTAGGGCTTTTTGGGGTTTAGGGTTTAGGGGATGTTAAGGATTCTTTGGGTTTTAGGGCTTTTTGGGGTTTGGGGTTTAGGGTTTAGGGGATGTTAAGGATTCTTTGGGTTTTAGGGCTTTTTGGGATTCGGGTGTTGGGTTGGTTCTTAAGCCACCTGCAACCCAATGTTTAAGGTTCAAGTTCGGGAGTTCATAAGAGTGGCTGCTGGTCTCTGGAACTATCTTGCATTGGGTCGGGAAAGGCTCAAGTCACCCTCTGGCATCATGAGAACCAAATCCTTTCAGTCTCTTCAGAACAGTATTCAGCTCTGCAAAAACAAAGCTATAGGGCTCCATGTAGGGCTTGAGGTTTCGAGTAGTTAAGGGTCGGAGGATGTGTAGAGTTTAAGGCTTAGGTTATGTAAAATGAATGTCTTACACTCCAAGCCCTTAACCCCCTTCAACATCAACAACCCTGAACTACCCGATGCCCGAAACCCCTAAATCAAACCCAACAACCCTTACCTACCATAATTCCCAGACCCTGAAAATCTTACAACCCGTAAATACACTGAACCTCAACCAACCAAAAATCATCCGACTACTCGCCCCGATCCACCCTAAATCCTGAACCCAAAACCCAATGTTAAGTCTTCGGCGGTGGGAGGGCCGCAAGTGTCGTGCCCCACGTGCCACGGCGGCACCGTCTGTGCAGCGTTGGGTTGGCTTCGGGGGCTTAGGGTTTACGCTATACTTGGGGCTTAAGAATAATATAATACGAACACGCTTCGGGGGTTGAAAGGTTTCGGATTTCTAGGGCTTTGGATGGAGTTGCTTTCTATGGGGCTCTATGGCGTTTTTTGGCCAGGTCTAGTGTAGGTGCCTACATAATTAAGATAGGGATTTGGGCTATGCCGTAGTGTCATTTTATGAAAAGGCCATGAGGGGACATTCGCCTTAAATCTCCAAACCTCTGTGTCAGACACCCAAGATGCAGTTCCATGATTTTGGCTGCCGTCTTTGCTTCTTAGAGGAGCCTATGCAAAGTAGGACGGGAATTCAGTGTCTCGATTGTGGAGAGGCCAGACGAAGGAGGCTGCGAGGGCTGATGAGACCTGATCTGGACTGTATTTAATACAAACATTAGCTCATGGGAGGCACCTTGTCCAGTAGCTCGTCGTAGTCTTCCATCCGACCTGAAATCAAACAGTCGCATGAGACCCTGTGCTCCCACTTTCCTAGGTCAAAGGTGCTTGTCATCATTCCAGAGATCGTCTTTCATATTGAGTTTGCATCAGTACAACAACGAGAGCGAGACGTACAGAGCTCGATGCAATGAGAAAGAACAAACACTTCTTGACTCGTATTGTGGGCATCTTTATGATTGGAACTGAGTTCTGGTGCACCGTAGAAGCACTATCCAAGGCCCACAATGGGGCAACATTGCACAATGTTCGGATTCGTATGTATACGTTTATGTATGTCTGCATGTATGTATGTATGTATGTCTGTATGTATGTATGTATGTATGTATGTGTGTGTATCTGTGTATGTGTGTATGTATGTGTATATATATATATATGTGTGTGTGTGTAGCATGTATGTAATTATATGTTACACATATATATATATATACACACACGTATATTTATCTTTTATATAACATATGTATAGATACATACGTACACACATACATACATACAGACGAACATCCACCCCTCCATTCACCCATCCATCCATCTATCCTACGTCAATCCTCCGCCGCGCATGTGCAGAAACAGGTGATGCCTTCCGGACAAGCTTAATCCTCTCGATGTAGGACATCCAACCGGTACAAACGGGCCCATTCTACCGGACTGAAAATGATAACGAACGCCATAGTAGTCTAGGCAACTATTAAGACATCCCACCTGTGACCTCCGTACGTCAATGATTCGACAAGGGTCTTGGTGGCTCTCGAAGCCTTGTTTGCGCAAAGTTTCTAAACCGCTGTGCTGCAAGCACCCTACACTTTGTGAATGAAGCACAAGACTTGGAAAATGTGAGCCCCAGACCCTGAACCCGCGTGGAGGTCTAAATATGCCGAATCCCAATGGTACGTAGTACAGGGCTCTCAACAACTTGACCAGGATTTGGGAGCTTTTCTTGACCAGTATTTGGGAGATTTTCGCCCATGGTGATAGTTATCCAGGGTTCTATATCGAGTCACGAGCAAAAAGACTTCAACCCCAAGCCCGACGGAAGAGGAACTCGAAGATGCAAACCCTGTGTATCTGAGAGGTCGCGCCATGATCATACTTCCGGAAGAGGAACATGGCCTTCAGAAGTGCGTATACCCGAAACCCGATTCCCAGAAACTCCAATATCCCTTAATTAAGGAATATTCCTTAAATCATATTAGGGGTCCTATTATAATTTAAGGAATATTCCTTAATTAAGGGATATTGGAGTCTCTGGGTTGCAGGCAAGCAGAAAAGGATGGGGCTGTAGAGAGACGTGTAAACATGCAGAACAGCTGAACCCTAAATCCCAAACCTTTCTAACTATTCTAACTGAGTGCTGGGTGAGAAGCCGATCGTGCGGACACCCCCATGCCCCGAAGTTTGCCCTGCAAACTGGGCGTGTGATTTGGAGCCAGGGCACGGTGTGTGATCGAAGGGGCGTAGACACCAAACCCTGACATCCCCGACCCCTAGACCCTTTGGGGATTTAGGCTTTTAGGCTTCAAGTCCTCAGAGACATCGAAATTGAATCCACGCCCCTGAAACGCTAAAGCGCTGAACCCTGAACCCAAAATGCCCAAACCCTGATCTCAAACCCGTACAGGGCACTGTTGAAACACTAACAAACCCTAAACCCTTAAACCCTAAACCAACCTGCGATACAATTCTAATAACTCCCCCCGGGTCAAAACCCACGAACGCCCTAACCGAAAACGTCTTGAAACCCTAAACCTTAAAGCCACAATCCCCAGCCCAAAATCAGCTGCCTAAGGATTCAGGCGTCGCTCTCGCTCGGATTGCGTAGACTGAGCCCCTAAACCCCCAAACCCGAAACCACCAAACCCTAAACCCTAACCCCTAACCCCCCTAAACCCCCTTTAGCCTATAGATCCCTTAAAAGAACCCCATAATTATACTTAGAAACCCAAAACCCCTGAACCCGAAACCCTAGCCCGACACTGTTGAGGCCCAAGGGCCCTTTCGAAGCCCAGCTTTTCGAAGGCATTGGCCATCAACTCGGGCATCCTCAACTTAGGGTCTCCTTTGGGTTTAAGGTTTAGGGTTTCGGGCTACTATTGAGGAACTTAGGGTCTCCTTTGGGTTTAGGGTTTAGGGTGTGGTAACGTCATGGGTGCTCGCTGGTGTGTGCACACCCAGGCCGCTCGCACTTGTGCATAGCAGACAGCCCACCCCAAGACCACCCTGAGTTCAAGCATTATAGGGTTTAGTTCTAAAGTCTTCTAGGCATTTCAGCGGGGGCTTGGATATCACCGACGGAAGCCGTTACTTTCAGCGGGGCCCAGACAGGATCCAAAGCAGTACAGCATGTGGGCTTCCTGTGAGTCTGCCCCCCCTCTCTGGATTAAGCTTTGGGTGAGGCTGTGCGGTTGGATTGTTATGCAGACGTTCTGTAAGGCTGTCCTGGAAGGTGCCGGAAGATGCAGCGGACTTTCTGTGAGGCTGTGCTGGCGGGAATTGTGCAGAATCAAGCAGCACTGCATGTCGGCTTTCTGTGAGTCTGTCCCTGTTTGGCGTGGGCTTTCTGTGAGGCTGTGTTGGCGGGTTCTCATGTGGGCTTTCTGTGAGGCTGTCCTGGCAGGTGCCGGAAGAAGCAATGGGTTTTCTGTGAGGCTGTCCTGGCAGGTGCCGGAAGAAGCAATGGGCTTTCTGTGAGGCTGTGCTGGCGAATGCCGGAAGAAGCAATGGACTCTCTGTGCGGCAGGAATTGTGCAGAAACAAGCAGCACTGCATGTGAGCTTTCTGTGAGTCTGTCCCTGTCTGGATTGGGCTTTCTGTGTGGCTGTGTTGGCAGGTTTTCATGTGGGCTTTCTGTGAGTGTGTCCCTGTCTGGATTGGGCTTTCCATGAGGCTGCGTTGGCGGGTTCCCATGTGGGCTTTCTGTGAGGCTGTCCAGGCAAGTGCCAGAAGAAGCAATGGGCTTTCTGCGAAGCTGTGCTAGCGAATGCCGGAAGAAGCAGTGTGTGAAGCGGGAACGGTGCAGAAACAAGCAGGACCGCATGCGGGCTTTCTGTGAGTCTGTCTCTGTCTGGATTGGGCTTTCTGTGAGGCTGTGTTGGCGGGTTCTCATGTAGGCTTTCAGTGAGGCTGTTCCTGGCAAGTGCCAGAAGAAGCAATGGGCTTTCTGTGAGGCTGTGCTGGCGAATGCCGGAAGAAGCAGTGTGTGAAGCGGGAACTGTGCAGAAACAAGCAGGACTGCATGCGGGCTTTCTGTGAGTCTGTCTCTGTCTGGATTGGGCTTTCTGTGAGGCTGTGTTGGCGGGTTCTCTTGTAAGCTTTCTGTGAGGCTGTTCCTGGCAGGGATGAAGCAGTGGGTTCTCTGTGAGGCTCCAATCCTTGTCCATTTCGGATTCGCACCAAATCCTGCAAGTCGTGAAGGGTTGGGGGACAAACCCTTGTCCATTTGGGAGCCGTTCCAAGTCGGGGGTCAAACCCTTTTCCATTTGCCGTTCATGAAGGGTTGGGGGGGTCAAACCCTTGTCCACTTGCCGTTCATGAAGGGTTGGGGGGGTCAAACCCTTGTCCACTTGCCGTTCATGAAGGGTTGGGGGGGTCAAACCCTTGTCCACTTACCGTTCATGAAGGGTTGGGGGGTCAAACCCTTGTCCATCTGGGGGGCGTTCATGAAGGGTTGGGGGGTCAAACCCTGGTCCATTTGGGAACTGGACAAAAAGGAACAGCCTAATGTAAATGGCACATTTACAAGCAGATTTTGGTAACAGAAAATCAGCTGTCAGCTTCCTGGAAAGGAACACCCGCCAAGTCGTGAAGGGTTGGGGGGTCCATTTGGGAGCCGCTCCAAGTCGTGAAGGGTTGGGGGGTCAAACCCTTGTCCATTTGCCGTTCATGAAGGGTTGGGGGGTCAAACCCTTGTCCACTTGCCGTTCATGAAGGGTTGGGGGGGGGTCAAACCCTTGTCCACTTGCCGTTCATGAAGGGTTGGGAGGGTCAAACCCTTGTCCACTAACCCTTGTCCATTTGGGAGCTGGCCAAAAAGGAGGAACCCAGAGATCGGCCGACAGCCTAATGTAAATGGCACATTTTATAAGCAGAATTTGGTAACAGAAAATCAGCTGTCAGCTTCCTGGAAAGGAACACCCGCCAAGTCGTGAAGGGTTGGGGGGTCCAACCCTTGTCCATTTGGGAGCCGCTCCAAGTCGTGAAGGGTTGGGGGGTCAAACCCTTGTCCACTTGCCGTTCATGAAGGGTTGGGGGTCAATTTTTTGTCCACTTGCCGTTCATGAAGGGTTGGGGGGTCAAACTCTTGTCCATTTGGGGGCCGCTCCAAGTCATGAAGGGTTGGGGGGGGTCAAACCCGTGTCCATTTGGGAGCCGCTCCAAGTCGTGCAGGGTTGGGGGGTCAAACCCTTGTCGAAAGGACGTGCTGGCAAAATTTCCGGGTTTAGGGTGTATCCTTTATAACCACTCCGTGGGAGGTGCCCGAGGGTCCGGCATGCATGGTGCCAGTCGCCTAGCTTTACCTAGGCTCCGCGTACGCGTTTTCTGCCGCTCGCGAAGCTCGGGCCGCTTCGGGCTCCGCGGTGGCGGTTGTCGAGCCCTCAGCGAAGACTTTAGGGCTACTATTGAGGAACTTAGGGTCTCTCTTGGCGGGGATAGGGCGGATAGGGGTCCAGGTCGAGCTTTAGTGGTTTGTGTTCGGGCGCCGCCTTGTTTCAGTGACTCGCGCTGTTGTCTCGTTCCGCCAACATTAACATGATGCACTTCGAATCTGGGGTTATCCACGGTCAACATTGGATGTAGCACATCTGGGCTCTGCAGAATACAGGGTCTAGAGGGTTTTAGGGCATTGGGGGATTCGGGCAATGACAGGCCTGCAAAGCCTTCCAAACCCCTCGGAGGCCTATAAGCCCTACAAACCCCAAACAAAAACCTGTAAACCCTATACACCCAAAGGGTCCAAGTATCATTATAGTATACTTATAGGGTATTTTGGGGGTCTAGTATATACCATAATGATACTTGGACCCTTTGGGACACCTAAAGCCCTCGGGGTCCTTTCACGTCGCTTCACGTAGGCTGCACTCATGGTGTTCACCTCAGCAGCCCGTTCCCGAGGCCGAGCTTGCGGGACATCCGAAATCCGAAACCTGAGAATATTGTACCTACTTAAGGGAACATGGGACTTAGTAACCAGGGTTATAATTAGGGTAACTAGACTTATAACCCCAATTAAGGTACTTATAACCTTACTAAGTCCCATGATCCTGCAAGTGATGTACCTAAACCCTCCAGCTACTTTCCGTTATGCTTTGGTCGCATGACCCGTTCAGGGTGTAGGACCCTTTAGGAGTTGGGATATAGCAGGTTGTGGGGGGGATGACTGGATTGCCGATACGGGTCGAATTGTAATCAAGCTGTCCTTACACCCTGAGCTCCACACGGCAAAACCCCAAGAACACTACCAGGCTAGGTTTTGACTCCTAGCAAAAAGCGAGCAGAAAGTCTGAGAATCCAATGCCACCCATAGGTCGGCACCCCAAACCTAACCTCACCTCGAGCTCAGAGGTATCACCAGCAACATGCATTGCTTTCCCAGCACTGGCATAGAAGTGGGTGGTTGTCAAAATTATGGTCACTTTTTCGGTAGCCTAAATACTAGGTGCCGTACTGTAATAAGGACCCAAAATGGACCCTAATTTTGACAGCCACCAAGTGGCATTTTCCATTCCTCCAGACAACCAATGGGATAAGAAGTCCTACATCCTTTGGAACCCAAGTAGAAGGCTGAAATCAAAGGACCCCAGATGGAACCTGTAGCCTGAAACCCTAAATCCTAAACCCCTATCCCCTATACCACCATACTCCCTAAACCCGCCCCCACCATCCTCCTCCAGCATGAGAAACTCTGAGATTCCAGGCCCGGAAGTGGGGGAAGGAGGAGTCGAAACACACTGCCACCTGGAACCCGTCTGAGTCTGAGGTTGTGCGCTTTACAGGATGAGAGCCTTTGAGTTTAGGGTTTTGGGCTGTCTTTGAGAGCTGTAGGGTTCAGGGTTTAGAGCTTGAGAGCGTGCAGGACGGATTTCAACACTGGGATCCGCTTGTCAGGTGCCGGACGTCCGTCAGCATGCAGAGTCATGGGCTTATCGTTTAGGGTACATTGTTCCTGCTTTGGGATGCTGTGGGGTCTAGGGCCTAGGCGTCAGTGACGTAAGGCTAAGGCCTTTCGACGGTTAGGCCTAACGCTCCAGACTGCCTTGACTGCCCAGAAAAGACCCACTGCCCTGGCTTCTTTCTTTTGCAGATTTCTGGCTTGGAGAGTCAGCTGGACTACCAGAGGCCAGCGCAAAGCAGCCGTAACAACGCCGCCCTATGCAGCTCTTGCCCGCAGGCTCTAAGGACTCATATTTTAAGGCTTTTGGGCCTAAAGACCATATTTTATAAGGCTTTTGGGGCATTTTGAGCCTTTAGGGTTGCACTTTATCCTTGGGGCGAAAGAGGGGGAGCTGAGTTGATCTTTTCAGATGCAACACAGAGGATCGGACCAATACGTCGCCACGCAAATGCACGGTTTAGGGTTTAGGGTTTAGTTTTTAGGGTTTAGGGTTTAGGGTTTAGGGTTTAGGGTTGTGCTCATTGGCGCGATCTGTGGAACAATTTCCGTAGCATCCGTGCCCGATGGGAAGCCGTCACCTGATTTGCTCTTCGACGGGCAGTAGATTCCCCCCTCGCTCTCTGTGAACAACCGCAAGTACTAGAGCCTACCTGGACCATAAGGAACCTACCATTGTTTACGGGCGTATAGGAACCCTGAAAAGGTGGATTATGAGGTGGATTATGTAGGTATGCAACTGGATGCTTGTAAGACTGGCACCAACAGGAACCGGTTCGGTTTGTACATCCAGCCGGCGGCTCCCACCTCTGCCAAAGATCTTTTCAAAGAGATCCGAGACTCGAAACTCCCCGAACCCTTTCATGCCGTCGTAGTTTACATCCCTAACTAGCGCGATTCCAGAACCCCTGCATCCAAAATCTGGGTCATCCTCAACTTGTCCTAAACCCCACGGCCAAGGCCCTAAACCCTACAGTAGAAGCCCAAAACTTGGAAACCCAATAGCCTCGATCCTTAAGAGTGGTGTATAATCCCAGCACTATTTGGCCTCAATCTGGTTTCCAACTTTATGGGGCTTACTGTATAGGTGTTGGGGAGTTTAGGAGTTTAGGGCTTTAGGGTATGGGGTTTAGGTCCTGTACTAGGGGCTTTAAGTGCGGTATGTATTAGGCGGTTTAGTGTTTAAGGGTACTTGGAGGATCATGGGACTTAGTTAATAAGGTTATAAGTACCCTAATTGGGGTTATAAGTATAGTTACCCTAATTATAGCCCTAGCTACTAAGTCCCATGATCCTTTAAGTAAACCTTCATCCCCAAGCCCCAAATCCGAAGCCCCAGCCACCGACCTGGACCCCCTGGTAGGCATTGGAGTAGAAGAACTGCTCGTGCTCACCAACCTTCAGAGCTTCAATCTAGGCTTCCTCTAGAGGCCACAGAAGCTGGGATGAAGGTTGGTATGCTAGACTTTGTTGAAAAACAGGCGTCTTTGAATGCGTTCTTTTATGCAGGCTCCTGATCAAGGAACGTTACAGTACTGTCAGGTTTTTCAGGTTTAGGGTTTAGCGCGAAATGACTAAACTAGGGCTCTGGGATATATTAGACTCGAGAATGACGGTGTAACCCGAAACCCGAAACCACAAGCCCGATTGGTTCTCGGAGTACGGTACCTAGAGGCTCCATAGTAGTTCCTTTTTGGGATTACCTTATTATAGGATTCTAAATATGAACCCCAAAAAAGAACTACTATGGAGCCCTAGTGTAATTGCGATACTTTGACCAGTTGCTGCCCACGATGCTTTTCTGACCGAGGCTGGGCTCCAGCAAGCTACAGAGAACGAGAACAACACAACTGGATCTGTATGTTGTTTATATGTACTAACCAGTGGTTTTGGGGTTCCCTTGGCTCTTTAGCTCCTTATTTAGGAGGGACTATCATCATCCCTGGCTCCTTAGCTCCTCCAATATCAATGGTTAGTGTATATATATATATATATACGCATATGTACGACTGTCCCCGTTTGCGTTCGGTACTCCTTCCATCTGGCAACAAACAGGCCAATGCACGAATGCATAAACCTAGGACGTTGTCTATGCATGATTACAACGTTGTGATTATATGGACATGCGCACTAACATATATATATATATATATATATATATGTATATGCATATACACATGTAGATCTAGATCTAGATCTCGATAAAGAAGAAGAAATGCAAAATCGTGTAATACAACCAACATATTTGTATGTAACAACATGAAGTATGACATAATGAACACAATATAGCATGATACGAGATGATCTACTGTAATTCACATACTACACTTTCCTATACCATACTGTATGCTATACTTTACAGAATAGAGTACAATGCTTATGTCTGCATGTATGTATGTATGTAGGTAGGTATGCATGAAGCATAATAACAGAAACAACTCACAATTTGACAGTGTGATGTAGCATATAAAGTGCGACGTTGTATCATACTGCATGCTACTCTACTCCATGTTGTTCTGCTCTAGTCTAACACATGAGATTGCATAATATGATATAACCGAATCTCAAAACATAGCATATGATGCTATACTATAGTAAACTACACTGTATACAGTGTATTACATTATTATATGACCTTGTACCTTGCGTTCATATATTGTTATGTACTCTATACAGATACACGCATCCACACCTGCGCACACACATACCGACCTACCTGCCTACCTACATGCAGACATCCTCGACGGTTTTCATACCATGCAGGCAAGGAGAGAAGGCGGAGGGAGGTAGGGAAGGGGAAGGGGACGGAAGCAAAGGGAAGGGGGCGGGGCAGGGCAAAGGGAGGAAGGGATTTTGTCAATTAGCAACATAATAATTGAACACAGATTCCTGGGCAGCAGCCCTAAGCCCTAGGCCCTACACCGAAACCCTAAGCATTCCATTCCGGGATCCCGAGCCCTCAGATCCTTCTGGAATTGGAAGGTCTTCATCCGAGCTGTTCGTCCCAGGAAGACCATCGGACCTGGGCGGACCATCGCTCAAAACCCACGCAAAGTGGGGCATCATGATAAGGACAAATGGCGGCGAAGATGCGCAAGTCATGATCTGCATTATTAAGAACATCATCGCCGATTCATCGCCATAATCAGTGCTTTGCCCATTGTCTTCCATGTTCTTATGTTTCATCTGCGTTCTTGTCAATATTCGACACACATCAGCATCCTAAGGCATAGTTGTACCTTTTTACTTCTTGTCAGTCAACACCAAAAACTTTGGTCGACCTGTGGCGTAGGGGTTTTCTCTGACTTACTACGGTTGATGGCATAAGTCCTGCATTACCCATAATAAGGAATATAACATGATTCTCATAGTCTAGGGTCAGTAAGGTCATGCAGGATTTATACCATCAACTGTTTTATCCCCATACTAAAAACTCTCAACACCAACGCCTTCATACTTGGGACGAGGGACTTTCGTTTTTGAGAGTCTACAACTAGATGGTAACCACAGTATACTAGGTTACAGGAAAACCTTTAGACGCCCGAAGAAGTTCGTCCTCATCTCGAAACCCTACAACCTGAGGCCTTACGGTGTTCGGGCTTTAGGGTACGGTGTCTCTCTTCCTTAACCTTGGGCTCAAAAGCGTAAAGCCGTCATGATACCAATTACTTGGGTTTAGGGTCTGCCGAAACATGAGGAAAACAAGACCACGAAATGTAGAAGGATCCCCAAGATCGACCAAGAATAGAGGCTTTTCGGATAAGGGTTCGACCCTAAACCCGTCTGAGGAGTATTGCCGTGGGCCTTTCGGGTTCGTAGGCACTAGGCCTTCAGGGCATGGGGCTTTAGGGACTGAGGGTTTTATAGGGCTCCTTTAAGGTTCCCTGTAGTAGTTTGGACTGGGGCTTTGGGTTTGGGAGTGGAGGGCATTGAGGCTCGACAGTTAGAAGCATAAGCATTTCAAGGGTACTGGTGCGAATGACGAGAAAATTAGGATTCAGTGTCGGGCTTGAGGGGAAGCCAAGGCCGATACAAATCTCCACTCGCATGCATCCGTCTGGTAGGAGCTCCTGGCAAAGCCCGGACCATCGGATCCCGAATAGGGAATTCAAGGCTTTAAGCCATAGGGCCTCAACTATCATGTGGGTTTGGTGAAAAAACTAAACGACGAGGAGTCCTCTAGGTAAGCAATGGTAATGTTGCAGGCCTCTATATGGGTGGTTGTCAAAATTAGGGCCCCTTGATGGTGCCGTATTGTAATAGGGACCCAAAAGGGGTTCATGGTTCAGGCCTGGTTCAGGGAATTTATGGATTGCTTTTGTGCCTGCCCGGCCTTGGGGGACCTGATTTGTCAACCCCGCTCTGTAATCATAGAGCTGCATAGAGTCCAAATGGGTAGTTGTCAAAATTATGGTCCGCTTTTGGGTACCCTAACCATTAGGTGCCGCATTATAATAGGGACCCAAAAAGGGACCCTAATTTTGACAACCACCCAATTGATGATCCTGACACTACATACTGATACGGTGTCTACATGGATATACACCCTTCTCAGCTCAACTCTTAAGACCCTCAACGCTAAACCCTGAGCCCCTAAACCTCTCAACCCTGCACCGATAAGGCTCTGACAAACATGTAAACCTAAGACCTAAGAACACCCTGAGAAAATCCCGGGGCAACCCACCTCGACCATGGGTTCCAGGAAGAGTTGCTGGTTCGTGACGCGGAGCCTCGGGACCGGTTGGGTGTGAGGGTTAGAGGGTGAGCTTTTGAGTCTAGGGTTCAGCCTTTAGTGAGGGTGTAGGGTTCGGGGTTTGGGGTTACGGGTTCAGTGTTCAGGGCACAATGATGGAGCTTTTGTGGGGGGCCAATCTGCGTAGGGTTTTTTGGTTTATATGGCAGCCATACGGGCTTCTCAGGCGTCATGAAGGTTTAGTTGGGGTTAAGGTGCTTTATAAGGTATAGTCGGCTTGCGGCTTGAAAGCTCGAAGGTTTCAGGGTCTTAGAGTGTTATGTGGGTTTGTATAAGATTTTCAGGCTCAAGCAAGCCCATATCACACCCTTATCAAACACATGTGAAACCCTGCAGTAGATATTTATAGAAAGCCCGAAAATGAAATCGCAGAACGCCCTGTCAACTGCCCCAAGGCCCTGTACCCCTCGATTCCCTGAGCTCGGTGCCTGCCCCGGAAGGCACCAAAGCCACGCTCGTCCTCATCGGCGTCTTTCATAAGGGCTTTGGAATTTTCCGAAGGCCTAGGGTTGGGTTTTTTCATCGCTTTCCCTGGCTTTGTTGGATTTTGCCAAGGACAATGACAATATTACGGTTTCGGGTTGAGGGTGTAGGGCAGTCTAGGGGGTTTACGGGGTTGAGGTTTTAGGGGTCGGCAATGTTCCATGAGAGTTAATTTCTTGACCCATACAGTGGTGCAGTGGCAAGATACACTCTTTTTCGGGTTCTACTCTTTGGAACGTTTCTGGATCAGGGTGGGGATCATTCGTGGTGTGGGGCTTTTGAGCTTGATGATCTGCTTCTCCGCGTGCCTTTTGGGGTTAGTTTTGTGGCGCAAGGGGCATTTTGGAGCTTCTGGGGTTTGGTCTCATTGCTGACCTCCCCCCTCCAAGCGAGTCGTAGTGTTCCCAAGAATGAAACCCTCGAACGTCCACACCTACATCAGGATCGGAGCTTGGCTCTTGTGGCAAGAGGGCTCTGGGTCCGGATGTTTGGCTCCAGGGCTTTGGGTTCAGGGCTTCAGGGCTTAGGGTTTAGGGTCTACTTAAAGGATCATGGGACTTAGTAACTTGGGTTATAATTAGGGTAACTCTAGTGATAACCCCAGTTAAGGTACTTATAACCTTACTTATCAAGTCCCATGATCCTCCAAGTAGGGTTTGGGTTTAGGGTTCAGGGTTTTGGGATGTTTAGGGTTATGCCCACCTGGAATATCCTGACCTTACATTACATTTCGGCTCTAGAACAAGGCTTTTCGTAGAGCGCATCTGAAACCCGATGCCCAGTCGGAAACTCCCGATCAAGCCCAAACCCCTGCACTAGGCAGCCTTCAGTCAAATCCTCAGATGCCGCACCTCCTGGACGGGAAAGCCCAAAATGTCAAAAGGCCTCGGAACAGACAGGGCTCAGGATACTTGAGCCCACAACCCAGACGGCTTGACAAACCCTCAGCTCCCGATTTAATGGTTTCCAGCTTGCGCCTCCGTTGTATCCATGTATGCTAGCAACAAGCCCCAAACCATCCACCGTCCACTGCATGAACGAGAGTTTCAGCATGGAAGGTTCAGAAAGCAGAGAACTCAAATAGAAGCCCGGAACAGCAGAATCCTGATTCTAAAGATCCCTGGGCAAGATAATTATGTCTTGTTGTTCAGAACTAGAAGCTTCAGAGCCCTGATCATACTTAACACCGGGTTTCGAATCTCGTGGTCCCGATGTTCTGAAGCGAGCCCCCAAACCATTTCTGGCCAATGCATCCGAATCTCAATGAGCTAAGGTGTTTGCATTTTGAACCCTCGTTTCCGCCTGCCCTGTCCAGAGTAAAGTTTAGGGTTTAGGGTTTAGATTGGATGTCAGTGCACTTGGGGTTTAGTTGGCAGGGTTTGTACGGCTTTGGCCCAGGTGGCACGGCACGTACACTGGCCCACATACGCCACAAGGCGCTTACTCTTCTTGAAGAGTATAGGGCTTTTAGTTGCTCCTTTGACCAATCAGCCATTTATGCGTGGCTTGTTCCGGAAGTCCTTCTATACGAGGGTGCCATCGAGAACCTACCTAAAGCCAGGTTGGGGAAACACTAGCGGGAACACGCATCGCATGCTATCCTGAACAAAGGATCCTCCAAGCATGTCATGACCAAGCATTTTGTGACCCCGCTTCACCACCGAACTCAAGTCAGCATGCCTGCGAAAGTCTACATACCGGCCTTGTCGACTTAAGGAGATATCACACGGCTACCTCAAAAGGAGCCTACAAATGCTGCTCTCCAGAGACATTCCTTCACCGTCAAGTCAACAAACATTAACATTCACCGTCAACCCTAAACCCTCCCGAACCTGCAATTGATGGATACGCGAGACTTAGTCCTATAAGCATCCCAAACTTCAACTGATGTTTCGTCTAGTTTCTGTAGTGTATTTAGGAACCAAAGGGGCGCCTAATCACAAGCTGTTTCCTGCTACAGTAGTATCCCCATAGGGATGCAAGTTTCGACAGTTTCGGTTTCTGTGAGGTCGAGGTCCCCGAACTATTGCAGCTTTGACTAGAAACTCCAATGTGGACCGAGCCAAGGGCTTCCACAAGGAGTAGTGCCGACTGCGCATCTTCCAAAGCATGCATTCTAAGCCTCGGCGAGGAAAGTTGTGGGTCGATGGGTTTCGCAAAATTTGCGGTTCCTCTTTGCGTAGACGAGGATCCTGGGCGAACATTGCATTGCGACCATTATAATAGGAGCCCCCAAGGAAGACCATGAGTACTGATTCCACTCCAGTATTGATGGCTTCTCGGTTTCCTTTGTGGGGTTGGGGTCTTGAGTTTGGAGACAAGGAGTTTTGGTTTGCTTCACGGTAAAGCAGTTTCTTCCTATAGCCTGAAAATCCCTATGTATACCTTTGCTTCGGGCCTAAAACCGAAACCCTGAAGCCGTTCGGCCTCAGCCTCAGCCCTGTACAGTAGACTCCATAAAGTTGGAAACCGGAATAAGGCCAAATAGTGCTGGGATTCCTTATACACCACTCTTAGAGGTTGAGGCTATTGGGTTTCCAACTTTTGGTAAGACAACCAGTGGTCAAAAGATTCCTGAACATGATGTAAGTTGTGTTCCCTAATCATGGGGTATACCGTCTCCACTTAAACTCCGATCACACCGCTTACCAAAAACGCCATAAAGTCCACAACACCCAATACAACTTTACGGAACCCTCAACAATACACCAACGTGAAAGATGTCTCCGCCAGGGTACTTTTGTGGCTGACCTTATGCGAGTAGAGCCAAGCTTGCTCTTAGCAGATGCGCTCTACATCTCAATGAGCTTTATATGGCTAAGAGGTCTTGGAATTTAGATAAGGGTGATGAGCATGGAAGTTCACAGGCTCTGCGGCTTCGGGCTTTTGGGTCGCGAGCTTTCGGGTTCAGTGGTTCGAGGGTCCGAGTTCTTGTGCAAAGGTACTGTAGTGTTGAGCCACAGCGAAGGCTCTCTCCCACGTCCTCCCTGCACCCCGGTTAGGGTTCAAGGTTTTTATAATTATACGGTTGAGGGCTGAGGACCAGGAGCTCATTCTCTAAACCCTGAACCCTGAATCCCTAAACCGCAATCTTTCCTCGGGCTTCAGGCAAGAATGAAAGGAGTGCGTGAAGTCGTCGTCCAGCACCAGCACAAACCTGGGCATGAATATTACCCAGCTCTTTAGGGTTTTAGGGATTAAATAAGGTTCAGGGATTTAGGGTTCAGGGGGTTGCGGTTTAGGGTCTAGGGGTTTAAGGATTAGGTGAAACTCCGCGAACTCTGCAATGACAGGGCGGAGGGCTAGACTAGCGGGATAAAAGCAGTAACACCCGCGAGAGTGACGACTACGGACAGTGGACTGCACCCATGCTTCTTGTCGGTCCTAGTGTGGTAGTCGTTCCTTTCAAGCAGATGTCATGCCATGACTTTATATAAGAGACGATGAATATTGAGACTCGAAACAGAACCCTAAATCCCCCTAGGAACCCCTTACAGGAACCCTGGTAATTACAGGAACCCTTGTAGAAACCCTTTAACGGACCCTTAGCAGACCCCGCACCAATCGCTGAGGGCCCAAGCTCTGTCTGGGTCATCTCGATGAGGAGCGTCTTCCTAGCAGCTGACATGGCGGCAATTTCATAGAAATCCTGACGACCAGAATGCTGAAAGTGATCGGAAGTGTGGGGTGGAGGGAACCCAACGATAGAACATCCACGAATGCACAACACCCGAATGCATCTTAATCTATGCTACAAAATCTACCGGTCTCCGGGATCGTTTCAGCCCTGTACTCCTCGGATTGCTTGCTCAATACTGCTTCTAGAACTTCGGGCCTGCAGTTGCTATATCCCAGTGCTTATAGCTGGGGTTGGCGGTTTTCCTTCGTGTAGTCTTGAACTGGGATACTATTCTTTTGCCATACAGGATCAAACAGGGCAACCCTAGGGATCGGGGTAACGAGAGCGATAAGCTTCCAAGCTTCACCCTCACGTCCAACGTTTACTTCCTAGGGTTTATACTAGGCCAAGAGAGTTAATGTTCGGGGGTTAGGGGAATTCAGTCGGGGTGTCGGGTTCAAGGTTCGGTACCCGGGATACCGTTTTCAGGTGATGAATGTCTAGTAAGTATTAGGAAGCAGGGAAAGGGATTTAGCAGGTAAGGAGATATCTGTATGTCAGCAAAAGCTCTACCTACTTCAACTCGAGGTAACTTTACTTTCAGAGAAGCCCATAAACTCCAAACACTAGGCCCCCACAACTATAGGCCTCAAAAGCCGAAACCAAATCCGAAACCTGGATGCCAATTATTGCGGCAGAAAGGAATAGGTTTTCGGGGAATAGTATACTATAATCGTAATAAGGAGCCCTTAAGGAATAGTATTGGTAACTATTTAGGGGCCTATATTACTAAACGTTTAGGATCTTCGCTTCCCTCCCCCTGTTGGCGCTCCCGCGCGAGAGCCCGAAGTCGTAAGGCACGGAAACGACCGTCATGTGAGGGACCTGGGCGCAGAGGAGTGGGAGCTTGGGCTCTCTCTTTAATACAGGGTTTAAGGGTTTAGGGTTCAAGGGTTTAAGGGTTTGGGGTTTAGGGGTTTAAGGGTTTAGGGTTTAAGGGTTTAGGGTCATGTGAGGGACCTGGGCTCGTAGGATGAACATGCAGCAATGTGGGAGTTTCCGAAAACAGGGGACCCGAAGAAAGAGTACCCCAAACAGTAGGATCCGTCTTGTGAGCAGCCCCCAAAAAGGTACCCCTTTTTTTCTCTGGAAGCTCCAATGTAGGAGACGAAATTTTGGGGTATAGTCATTCCGAAGAGGGTTGTGCCGGATTTTGTTGCTGAGACTTTCATACAGGTTTATGACAGTTTAGCGTAAGAGCTTGTTTGCAGTTTTTTTTATGGTATGCGTACTCAAGGACTGGAAAGGGATATGATCACGAAACTGTGTGAACCCGTTCTATTGCTTAATGGGACAGGGGACTTAGGGAGCAGTCTCATTCTCATAATTAATGTCTAATGCAAGTACTGAAATGGAAAATTGCAGAGATTTTGGGGATCAGAACATCGACCGTAGTCGCCCTATCGTGATAGGCTCCTTATTTTGAGGACACCTGAATGCAGCACCACATCCTTTCAGAAACCTCCGACTTGTAAATCCCTACAGAAACCTTAAACAAACCCTCAAATCTCTCAAACGCTAACACTAAACCCTCAAACCTCTCTTAAGAAACCCCCACATCCTTACCTGCGAAGTCACGGGATGCTCGACACAGAGTTGGAGGGCTCAGAGGTCTAACGCTCTAGGGGGAATATGGTCTGGATCTTAGTGGGGAATGGGGGAATGGGTTATGGGGATTATTATTGGGGATTATACAGGGCTACTAGAGGGATCCATTCCCCCATTCCCTACAAAGTGGTTCAGTGGCAGATTCAGTGGGCTATTCAGGGTTTAGGGCTTGAGGTTTACGGCTTCTTGCAAGGTGTTCCAAACAAGGTTGAGGCTTCAGGACTTCGGTCTTGGGCCGCAGGGTGTGCAATTCAGGGTGTTGTGGTTTTGGGGCTCCGGGTTTGGGGTTTTGAAAGGTTAGCGGTTTAGAAGTGTATAGTCTTGGGTTGTGGGATTGAGAGGCTGAGGGCTTAGGTTTCAGGGCGGCTTCGAAGCAGCTTCTGCGAACCAAGTGGTAGGAAGCTCTCTCATGATTTCGGTCAGACTATTCGGAATGTATCAGCGCTACTGCTAGTGATATTGATAGTGTTGCTCCGACGTCTTCTGCTGTCACTACGACTGCTACTATCACTGACGCTACGGGGAACGGTGTCATCCAAACCGCCATGTGGGGCCGGGATCATGACGAACTGGATTCTGAGGAAGCAGCCGTCTCATGCTTGCGAGGGACGGGTGCTGTGCCTTAACTTGTGGACACAAAACAACCAAGCTACTACAGTGAAGTCAACGTTCATCAGAGTCTTTGTTGTGCAACGCTTCCGCCCTTAACCCTAGTATTACCAGTAATATCCTAAGCTCCAAACCCCGAGCTCAAAACTTCAATCCCAACAGTTCTGAGCCAACAACTTCAATCCCAGCAGTTCTGAGAGGTTTGGATCATTTGAGGGCGAAGTATTGGGGCTGTAGGACGGTGGCATGGCATCTACTTATTCTACTTCGAGATGAACGGAGGGATCCGCCAAAGCAAAAGAACTTGCATGGTCATGCAGCACCTGAATACTGAACCTCTGCGTCCATGCATGACCGTGGCGGTAAACACACCCTTTAAACCCTAAGCCCCCAAACAAATAAACCCTAAACCGCTTCCCGCTTAAGGGAGGCGTTCTCCCGCCGATGGCGACCCAGCATCCCAAGACTTTAGGCTGCAAGCTTGACTAACCAGTGGTTTTGGGGTTCCCTTGGCTCTTTAGCTCCTTATTTAGGAGGGACTATCATCATCCCTGGCTCCTTAGCTCCTCCAATATCAATGGTTAGTTGAGCCCCAAACTCTGAGGCACTGGCACCCTTGATCCTCGGAGCACTCGCACGTGGCGATGATGGGAAGGCGGCCGTAAAACTGAGGAAGCTGCGGTCTTCATAATAGGTGAGTCTATGGGGTGGGGTTGAAGGGTTTTCGATCGTTCGGGTTTTGGGGTTCAAGGCTGCCGGCGTGGAGGTTCATGGCTTCATAGAGGGTTTAGGGTTTAGGGTATGGCTTCATCTAGATTTCGGCTGATTGGAGAGTCTTCTTCAGGGGTGGCGATGGGTGGCGTCTCTTCCGGAACTTGCACATGATCCTAAACCTTATACCCTGAACACCAGGCTTTCGGGTTTGGGCTTAAATCGGGGCCTTAGGGGGGTTTAGGGTTGTCCCTGCCTTCCTGCATTCTCAAAAATCTTACAGCTCTCTGTGTACTGTAGGGGCCTTAATGATTAGAATAGGGTTTGCGGGATACTATACTGTAATTTTCAGTCATAACGAACGACAACACAGTTTAGGCAATTATCATTATTATTTTTTTATTATAGCCCTTATAGTAGCCTTGAACAAGCCCGTGCCAGCGAATGCACTCAAACACGAACACACGGGCCTATGCTCATGCAGAAACCAAGCAAACAGCGAAACAACCAAGCGAACCAACACTAAGCACCTACCAGACACAGTTGCCACCAGCCTCGCGGAAGGAATCTGCCAGCCTGACAAACACCAGAGGTTTCGATTCTCCTCGCATATCAGCGATGTCTCTTGGAGAAATGCAACCAACTACGATGGGCAGAATGAAGCTGCAGTTCCACGTCGCTCGAGCATGCGTCTGCAGTGACCCACAAACCAGCAGTGCTAGCCCACGTGACAAGCAATACCGCCACCCCTGCCCCCCGGAATCCAAAACCTGCAAGCACCAGACTTCCAGCACCCGCAGTTGTAAGGACTGCAATCAGAGACATCTACATCCTGAGGTCCAAAACTCACGGCTTGAGTCGTCGTCCCTTAACCTATACCATGCCCCCGCCCCCTTAGAACCATGTTAACATGACAAATAATTCCTAAGCAGACTCTAGTAACTCCAAACCTTGCGACCCAGCGGAGCTCAAATCCGCACACTCCGAACCCAGAGGCTTCGGCTTCTTGGTACAAATCCACGGGGCCTTTTTGAAACTAAGGGGGTACCTTAGGGTTCCTTTAGTGGGTTACTATAAGGGCTCCTTTACAGGGCTCTACAAGGGTTCAGAGTTTCCTGAAAAGGGTCCCCGAACAGAATGCCATGCTTATAGAATTTTAATATTAAAAGGATCACGATTTGTTTATGGATGCCTGTCCAGGAGGTGGCAGCGCTCAGCACAATGTGCAATGACCTGGCCAGCTGTGATGCTCGCCGGCACGGTTTGGGGTTTAGGGATTAGGGTTGAGGGTTTAACCCTAAACATCCCTAAACACTAAAACCTAAGCCCTAAACCATCTCTGATACCCAACGCCCAGAACCAACTCCAACATCCTAGAACCTAAAACCGCAAAATCCTAAAGCCTGAACCAACCCCTCAACTCCAAACCCTAAATGGGAGTTAGGATTAAGGGGACCCTTGGGGATAAAGACCCTCTCAATCAGGTCCCTTTTAAGAGAGCCAGAAGTAGAGTTCAGAAGGGGTACCCTTTAAGGGGTCTCTGAAATAATACTACCTACTAAAGCCGACCTGCGGGGCTCTCTAGGCCCCAAGGATCCTGTGCCTTTAGGAAAGCGGGATTCCAGGCCTAATATAGGGCCTAAACAATTACTGGGTTGTGCTTTAAACCCTTCGAAAATCATTTATGAATAGGTTCCCTTTATAAGGAAATAAGGGAAATTAAAACTATCCCAAAGCACAACCCAGATTACCTATACTATTTGGGGAGGGGGGGAGGGGGGGGGGGTCCTTACTATAGTTTTATAGTATGATGGGCCCCGAAACCCTGTTCTAATAACTAAGGCCCCTATATTACGGACTTTGGGCTTAGGCTGGACGCTTTGGGGTCGCTGAGTTCTTACTGGTGTTTAGCTTGTTATCTTTGCTTATTTTTGTTGGAGCTTTAGGGTCTACAGCGATCTGAAGTGAGTTCAGGGGTTAAGGGGTCCGGAGCTTCTGGGAACTGTTTGGAGACTGAAAGACTAGATTGGACACCACAAACGACTGTGCATTGCCACCTAGTGGGGCCTAGAGGGTGCTACTACACAGTCTCAACAATGGCAAAGCCCAACCTGGAAAGCCTCAACCACTTCGGACTTCGCGGCATAAAAGGATTCACGCTGTACGACCTAACCAGGACCCCTGAACCCCCTACACGTTAAACTCCAAGCCTTTTGGAAGGCCCCACAGCAACCCTACTTACAAGACCGATTCAAGAGACCTTGAACAAAAGTTCATATGCTCTCAGCCCTAAACCCAAACTTCTAAAGCCTAGAGCCATCTTGGGCTCAGGACCGTGATGTGCTCCTCCACATCGTCTAGGAGTGCAGAGAGTTGCACCTCGGGTACCTCCGTCGGCATTTCGGAGGGCTTGCAGTAGTTAGGGTTTAGGGTTTGGGGCTTAGTGCTGCCACCAGAAAACCATGATGACCATGAGGGTCGAAGATCAAACGACTGCATGCGTGTTGTCCGATGCGAAACGATACTTTGAAAGCAGTGCCACATGAACCAAGACTCAGCGCGGGGTCACACAGGAAGTGCTTTGTATGGACTCCTATACTTTAGGTTCCCGCCGTTACCTGACTCGTGGTAGCATATATATATATATATATATATATATATATAATAATAATAATAATAATAATAATAATAATAATATATTATATAAATATAGAGGTATGTATAAGCTATCGCTGTTCTTGCTGAAAGAATGGCCTCGGACCTAAGCCCTTCTGTAGATGCAACCGCTGAACATTGCTGCAGCCCGGCCTGCGATGCCGAAGGACCTGCATGAGGGTTTAGGGTTTAGGGGTTTAGGGTTTCAAAGCAGCTGAGGTCTGCGATTCGTAGGGGTAGACCAGAATCAGAATAGGATCCTAAACCCTGCAGTAAACCCTAAACCCTTTGGCTTAAGGGTTCTTATTGGGTGCACACTCTAGACTTTGGGACCTTCGCGAAAGAAAGTTTCTAGATGCCGAAAACCTTCCAACCTGTCCTTCCACCGAGCATGCGGAAGCTTTATCAAGCCGCCGAAACCCACACGCACGGCTTTGAAAAGCAACCTTCTTAAACACCTACGTCTCGAAGGGAAATGCAAGGAAACCATCATACAGAACATTGAGAATTCTAGGTCTTCTGGAGCTGCAGGTACGGATGCTGGAGCGAGAAGGACATTTTTTCTTCAAGATACTTGTGGTATACACCTACTGCAAAGCCCCGTGACATTCCAGATAAGGACCCCTGGCCAAACCCTAAACCGCAGTGACCCTTAGCCCACCCCCAAAGCAACCCAAGTAAACCCCGAAATATTGAGCAACAGGGTTTTTTGGCGGACTGGCTCGAGCAGCCCCTTTCAAAACCCTAAACCTCGCGCCTGCTCCAGGCGAGCAGCCTGCACTGGCTGTTATCCGAAGCATGCCGAAGTGGGCCTCGAAAGGCTTAAGGGCTTACTTAAAGGGATCTATAGGGTTCCTTAAAGGGCTCCTTCTAAGGGATCTATAGGGGCTCTATTATAAGAACGGCGTAAGGGCTTAGGGTTTAGGGTTTAGGGCTGAAGGCTTCAAGTTTAGGCTTTAGGTTTTTTTTTAGGGTCTAGGGGTTCGGGTGAAGGGTTCCCTTTAAGGGTCCCTTTAAAGGCATCTAGAGGGATTCTATAAGTATAGGGCTTAAGGCCTACTTGGAGGTTCATGGGCAGCTACTGTATAAGTGGGATTATAAGTAGTATCAGGGTTTAAAGGATCTACAGGGAACTCCAGAAAGTTGGAATATGGTTTCAGGGTAGGATACCCTATAATTTACCATAAAGGGTTTGGGATAATCATATTCCAACTTTCTGGCTTTTACGTTATGGGGGTCTAGGTACTTTTTGAAGTGCATCGGAGCTTTTCGAGCATCCCCGGCAGGCCAACTCTGTTTCGAGTGTGAATTGAAATCAAAATCTATACAACTTCTGTTTAGGGTTTAGGATTTAGGGTTTCGGGATTTAGAGTTCAGGGGGCTTAGGGTTTAGGGTCTAGGAATTGGGGTTTAGTAATTTAGAGACCGGCCAATAGGTTTCACGTTGAAAGGTATGAACATATCTTAACAGAATCGTGGTGACCCTTAAAGTCGGGTTTAGGGTTGATATCTGTTCGATGTTGGCGTTCAAGCTCGCCAAGCTCATCTTCTGTGACTAGCACAAAGGTGCCTCACAACTAGTCATTCGGAGCCACGTCGGTCGAGACAAATGAAGCCCTTCAATGTCTTGTACAATTTGAACACAAGCTGACAAGGGTTCGAGGGTTATGGATCAAGTTATAGAAGGGCCCAGTTTAGGAGCCACAATAAAGACGTAACCTCCCCTCTACTCCTTTACCGGAAGCAAACGACGAACATATCTTTTGGAGATCACTACACAAACCCTAAGGCTCAAAATGGCCCAAGAGCCTTATCGACTATGTTCTCTAGGCCTAAAAGCCTTAAAATATGAGTCCTTATAGAGTAAAAGGGAAAGAACCCGAGAACCCATCAAGAAGGAAACCAAACAAACACAACCCATGCCCAAGAGCCGTAGAGCAGTGTAGAGACGGTACAGACTGTATAGTAGAAGATCCTCACTGTAAGGATCTTAAACCCTGAACCTCCAACCCTTAACCTTAAACCCTGAACCCCAAGGACTCCTCAAGAGGCGTCTCCGCCTCAAGCTCCTCCGCACTTTGGCGTGCATCGCGGCGAGGAGACCCTGCGTCAACCTCCAAGCTCTTTTAGCTGTTTGCTTGGTTAGTTCTCTCGAAACTAGGGTCCCTGTTTAGGTCCCGAAATAGTACGGCACAGACATAAAATAATGGACCCCCAGAAGGGACCATGATTTCGAGAACAACCCACTTACAGGATGAAGGGATTTAGTAATAATAAGTCTGGTGTACAACTATAAGTCAGGTAACTGTAGCTGTAGTTACGTAGAACGAGAATTATATAGGTACTTGAAACACTACGTCTTCAAAGGCCTCAGATATCCCTAGATCTGTTTGGAGGCTCAGGCCTGTGGGGCTTAGGGTTTAGGGTTTAGAATTTCGCGAGCTTAAGGCGTTCTAGGGCGCATGGTTGGGGATTAGGCTTATCTGGGGTTACAAGTCATTTTAACTACAGCGGCCCGTTTCCAAGCCCTAAACCCTAAACCCTAAACCCCAAAATTGCTGCGTCGCCGGATTGTTCCGGCAGACCCTCGGCCTTAGTTCTTAAATCCTTAGTTCGAAACCCAGAGGCTCCATAGTAGTTTCTTTTTGGGATTACCCTATAGGATTCTATATATGGACCCCAAAAAGGAACTACTATGGAGCCTTAGGGAAACGACATCAAGGCTGAAAGAGTGTTATAGAGTACAACATGGATAGCAGCCCGTATAGAACCAACGCCAAGAAGCCGATGCCATCCCTTGCTTCGAGTGGTAGGCCAGGAGCGAGAGAGCCTTGGAAACGAGCCCCAGACTGCTAAAATTTCAGTCAGGGTTTAGGGTTTACGTGTTCGAAGAAAGGTATAGGGGGTGGTGTTGCAGCTGTTATGGCTTCGGAGACAAGTAGATTTATGCTTTTTGTGGAAGGTTATGTATGATCTTTCTTTTTCGAGGGTCTTATAAGGCTTTTGCTACGCTTAATAGGCTCCTCGATGGGAAACCTCCTTTGAGCGACCATAAACGCTTGGGAATCGTTAGGCCCGTGCTTGTTCAGCTCATAAAGTGCGGAAACATCGCCAAGATTCACCCAAGAGAGACCCCTTGCAGGATACTCGAAGTACCCTAAACCCGAAATCCAAACCCCCAAGACCCTTACCCTGCAACCCTAAACCCTAACCCAAACAGACGAGCATGCATTGATGCGCTCCGGTGCTCTCTGGGCTTTTTCCTACTGCGAACAAGAAGAAGAACAGTAGAACTCATCTCCTTTCCAAAAGGCCTGGGCCACTTAAGCCCCACACGGCGTTGACCTCTGCAGGACTGCCGCAGCTCGTGAAGACCAGCGCGGAATCTGCGCCTCTTGCTTCATACAGGGCTTCCACGGTTTTAATTCGTCGTGTCTTACCAAACAAATGAAGCGCGTGGTTTTGAGGACAAGCTCAACATGAGGTGGACTTAATCACCGCCACTTGCCATGTCGTGTGATGTTTCATGTGCCTTTTAAACTACTTGGGTTCGCGTCGCTGGGTAGCACAAAGCACGTTGCAGTTTTCAGGATTTCGGATTCGGGTTATGATTTGGGTCATGTTCACATATCCGCAGGCTAAGAGTTGCATATGCATGCACGTGTTTTTGTGTATGTATGTGTGCAGGCATGTGACTGTGTATGTATTTACATACACTCACACACATCGAATGAAAGGCATGCTCTTCTCAGTTTGTAATGGTGTTGGGCACATACCCATAAACTGTACTACAATTATTTGAACATACATCGAAATCGGTCGACAGATAGGTACATATATACCAGCATACATACATGCATGCAAACATGCATTAATTGCATACACATGCATGTGATGCATGTGTGTGTATATATATATATATATACAAATACACAAGCCTATGCAGAAAATTGTTTCTGTCCCTGCAGGGTGTGACAAGGAGTTCTACGAGGTGAGTCGTCCTTGTGCTTCCAAAACCTGTAGGTTTTCTGACTAAGGTTTGGGGTTCAAGGTTCTGGGCCTTACGGTTCAAGGCTTGGAGCTTCAGGGTGTGATGTTCGCAGGCTTAGCCTGAACGTGGGGTTGCTCGGTGCGATGTTCAAGTGGCTTCCTACTGAAACAACCATATCAAAGTCAAAACGCAACAACTTTATCATCTGGAGTCCCCATGTCACCTTCACCCGGGCTTCCGTGATCTGCTCGCTGTAGACCAGCCTTGAGAGTTCAAGGTATAAAGCCCTCGGCAGTGTTGTCTACAAGGCTTCATGGTTTGCAATAGTGTAATCGCGTGGTTGGTTGTATTGTTGCTTCAACTATTCCGGGATTTTATTCGGGTACAAGTAGTGGTCTAAAGTTCAAAGGAGCTTAACAGCGACCTTTTTCTGTTTGGAGCCAAGTTCCTGCCTTGCTAAACAGAAAACCCTAAACCCTTAACCTGGCCGCTAAACACTCCAGACAGACGTCCTACAGCCTTAAGTCCTCCTAGTTCTGTATCCTTCCGCTCATATTCGCTTTTCTGCCGGTTCCACCAGCAACACCTTGCAAAACTTGAAAATTGCCAACCTTCAGCTACACTCTCGTGAACCTTCGACTGACATCCCAATACGGTAAATCCTGATTCTCCAATTTGCAGAAACCCTACATTCGCCTATGACCCTTCCACATAAACCAACATTGCAAAAGCTCAACAGCCCAAACCCTGAATTCCGCAACCACCCCGCCGGCGCTCCGTTCCCTAACCTCCGCACCCTCAACCCTAAACTCTACACACCCTAAAACCTATAAATCCTAGCCCCAAACCCTGCACCCCGAATCCCAATCCTAAACCCTATGTAAGCCCCGAACCTTTGAAGCCCTCCCTTTCGCCTCGCAGCGTCGCCTCTCAGCCGACACCGGAGCCTCCGGGCTGCCTCTGTCGTGAGAGGAAACCCAGACTTTTACGGGTTTTTTTGACGGGCAGAACTGGGCATGTCGCGCAAGCAGAATTCGTCCATGCAGCGGAAAAACGCACTTACAGGCGTACCGCGGTCGCTTCCTGGCGAGCCAGGATCAGAAAATTTAAAAGAACTGAGCAGAAAAGTATCGAAACCGAGAGCTTAGCCGCCTCCTTGAGGGGACAGCGTGGCCCACCACGGGCGTGGTCCTTCGGCTCGCATGCACGGCTTCCAAGCGTGCAGGTTCTTCTCTCTCGGCCCTGGAGTGTCAGATACATCTCCATGGTCGTACAACTGATCTGCAAAGATGCTGGCGGCGAAGGTGCTCAGCCAGTCTGGCCCGTGACCAGAACTCTGTACAGCAAACTTCGCAGCGTGTGCCAATGGCACAACGCGCATGGAGGGCGCGGAGTCCGTGTCGTTTGGCGCGGTGCGCTTCAAGTGCACTAGAGGTCCTGAAGGATGCTGGGCAGTGGTCACAGTGCCATGTAAGGGCAGGTCCATGGGCCGCCGTGATCATGGCGTCCTCACAAGGCGGTCTGGGTCGGAGCGCACTGCGGTCTACGCGCCGACCGTCAACTGCCTTTTTGAGGTATCGACGGCATGCGGCCTTGATGGTGGCCTTCGTTGGGGCTGCACTGGCGAGTATTTCCCCCCTCTCCGTAGGACCGCAAGGCAGGATCTCAAGGGCTTGCAAGGCCTCTATCAGAGCTGTCCACCATGGCCCGTCATGGCTCAGCTCCTCCAAGACAGCTGGTTGCCCAGCTCTCGCCAACTGTCCGAAAACCCGGGTTCGTTCCACATTAAGGAGCTCTTCGGGGGTTGGAAGCTCGAGCGCTCCAGCAATCTCGAGGTTGGTGTAACCCTGACTCGAAATGCCCAGCACGGGCTGGAACGCTCCTGGGTAGAAGCCGTAGATGGCCTCATCGACCGTATCGGCCTCACGTCTGGTACGGAGAGTCCATAGTCCAGAGCCGTGCAAGAAGCGCGCGAGAATGCGGCTTTCCAGAATGCTTCGTTTTTCCGCAAAGGTCAAAGCCGGATTGCGCAGCATCCGCGCTTTGACAGGGCGGAAGATGTCACGGGTCAGAGACCGGCGGTGCTGGATCTCAGGAAGAGAATGGCCATCTGCTTGAATCAGGGCGCCCAGGTGCTGATACGACTTGCTTTTGCTTAGCGTCATTTTCCATTTTTTTTGGTGTTGTTTTTCAAATTTTTGTTGAACTGCATTTTCATGACTGCACCGATGAATGAAAATAAGTTCTAACAACTTGTAACATTGTAATGTCTTCATTAATATTACATGTGCTTTGTATTTTACATGACATGTATTTTTAATATGTGACATGTTTCATTTTAAGCTAGAAAACGAAATTTGGAACGACAGCAGACTGAGATAAAAGCATTCCACCATCAGCTTTAAAGCATTATAGTTAACACTGACACAACATGATGATTTAATAACTCTGCCAAATGTCCCATTTCATTATTAAAAACATGTCACTGTAAATCTTATGCATGCGACGATGATAGTGACTCGCAATAAAATATCTTTTTATGATTTTACCGAGCATGTTTGTGTACTGCACCGATAGAGTGAAATATCTAACTTAGTCTTGCAGGAAGTAGGGCTTACGGATTAGGGTTTACAGATTAGGGATGATGAGGGTTTACATTGTAAAGGGTTTACTTTAAACCAATCCGTAAACCCGTCATGCGTAAACTCTAAACCGTAAACTCTAACTGTTACTATAAATCCGTAAGCCCGAATCCGTAAACCTTAATTTAGTCCGAAATACGGTTTACGGACCAGGGTCTACGGATCAGGGTTTACGGATCAGGATTTACGGATCAAAGTTTACGGATTAGGATTTACGGATTACGGCTTACGGATTAAGGCATACAGATTAAGGCTTACGGCTTACGGATTAGGGTTTACGGATCAGGGTTTACGGATTAGGATTTGGGTCCGAGGGGTGAGAGTTACTGCCGAAGCAGCCGTTCGTCTTTTATTTTTTTTATCTTTTCATTTTTTCTTGTTTTTCTTTTTTGCTCCTTGGCGTTTCAGCGGCCGAAGCAGCCGCTTCTGCGTCTCTCGCGGCCGCAGCAAACGCATCTCTCCTTAGCCATCCACGCATCTCCAGCAGCCTGCGCTTGTTCCATTTCCCTCTTGGCCCGCTCTTGTCGTTCTGCCCAGGTCTCGACTGGTACGTGTTGGCACCTCGGAGCTGGCGGTGCAGCCGAAGCAGCTGCTACGTCACCGAGACTGGCTGCACGCCTGGTGAAGATATCCTCGAGGGTTCTTGGGTCGCGCGGTCTGCTCGGGGGCCCAAATCCGCAAGATCCCAAAACTCTGTCACGTCAGCTCGTGCAGCGCCGCCAACTCATGCCAGTGACCTTGGAGGCTAAGTTCGCGTCTAGGTCTCGGCCCCTGCCCTTGTACCTGGCAGGCTTAGTCCACCCACAGTGCGAGGGGCTTCGCGTCCCAAGTACCCCCCACCACAAGAGGGTGGCCCATGTAATATATATACAGTCCATGCTGTCGTCCACCGCCCGGGCAGCCTTGATCTGCTGTGCACACAGGCCTTTATCGACCCGGTCACACACAAGCAGCACATTTTTCTCGCCGATGCCCAAGCTCTTGCAGAAGCGTTTGACCCGGTGGTCTGGACGGGTGATTTACCCGACTCACGACACACCGTGCCTTTGTCTTCTTTTGTCGCACTTAGTTTACTTCTTCTCGCCGAGATGCACGTACCACCAGTCGCCGTAGCTTGCTGCCCTCCATATATCTCTTCCATCCAATGTCTCCACACCAAGCGCACCTCTTTCACTCAGGACTCCTCCACAGTCCAGGATCAGCCTCAGTGCCTGGACTGGCCGAAGCAGCCAGGACGGCCGAAGCAGCCGGGACAGCCGCAGCAGTCGGCGGCCGAAACTCAGGCGAAAACCTGAAAGCTTAAAAGCTGCAGCATGTGAGCGTTGTAAGAAGAGGTCAAAGCGTCCTCTCCTTAGGACAGGAGGGGATGACCCCGAGCGTCCTAAGGAGAGGGGATGCAGAGGACAAAACGCTTAGAATCACTTTTGCTTAGCGTAATTTCAATTTTGCCCTCTCCATCCCCTCTCCTTAGAACAGGAGGGGATGACCCCGAGCGTCCTAAGGAGAGGTCAAAACGCCTTCTCCTTCCAACAGCGAGGCTTACAAAAAAGGGTTTTAGGGTTACGGTTTAGGAAAGTCCCTATATCGCTAAACCTGAAACCTTTAAACACTAAGACCCCCAAAGACATTGAACCATAAAACACGCCCATTATACTTGTTATAGCAACCTTTGAGGATGTCAAAATTGAAAGCATCAAGTCCTTTATGTCTCTGGCCTTGAAAACGGTCAACCCTCTGCTGTATTCCTAAACCCTCAAGCCTCAACAGACAAACGTATTGAAAACTAACGTTTCAAATCGCAGCTTCAAGCTTTTCATGCCTGTAGCCCTTTGGTATACCCTTTTGTTGTATGGTCGTAAACCCTGAAGCTTCACAACTTGAAATCTCCGTATCAAAAATAGACTTTAGTTTAAAACACCGCGACGACTTAAAAGTCAGAAGCATTAACAACAACCTCACAACTTGCCACTAGAAACATACCGGTTCTGAACACTAACATGTCAAAAAGAAGCTTCTGGCAAACCTTTCATTCAACCCCGTTACTTTATTCCTAAGGCTTAAACCTTCAACGCTGAAAAAAACGTGCGTTCAAAATAAATTTTAAAGCAAAGACCTCGACAACTTAAACCTCGGGAGCATAATTCACAAAAGCAGAACTTGTAGGCAGAAAGTTTGCTTAACATCTCCAAGCGAAACCTGGAGCCTTTCATGCCTGTGGCCTTTTCAAAACGGATATATATATATATATATATATATATCTGTTTTACTCTAGTATTCCTAAATCCTGAAGCCTCAACTTTTTAAAAATCCGTATTTAAAAGTTATTTCAAGACCTCCACAACACAACAACACAAACTCATTATCAATTCCCTCCTTCCATCCGTCCTTCCACTCGTATTCTTTTTCCTGGATTGAAGTCGTCTTGTCCGAAGACCGATGTTGCCTTCAAATTCTTCAGCCTGTCAAGGCCGAAGTAACCAAACGATAGTCGTGTTGTCCAAAGGCCGATGCAGCCTTTGAAGTTCCTTGAGCCTGTCAAGGCCGAAGCAGCCAAGCGACAGCCGATTGCAGTCGTTTTGTCCAAAAGCCGATGCAGGCATGGCTCACTTTTCACATAGGCCGCAGCAGCCTTTTTGCGCGGATCGCTTTGCTCGTGACACCTGAAGTTTACGGCTTGCAAATGCTCCGTTTTCGTTAGCCTGTACTCTGCGTAGCTCGTTTTAAAACCTGCCGCATGGCAGCACTTACATCCTATGCCCCAAGTTGGCATGGAACGAGCATCCAGCCAAGAGCCAAAACCAGAAATGACAAATCTTGCTTGCCCCCAGTCGTTTCCATTTCCCTTCGGCCGAGTCAGCCGTCTTCAAGGGCCGCTGCAGCCCACTTTTGGCCGAATCAGCCTGAGAAGTCGTCATTAAAGCCTTGATCCCACCGATAAACGGAAATAGCTTTCAGCACCTTGCAAATAACTTTCAGCATGCCAACCGATCTTTGCGTCAGGATTTGGAATTACATCTTAGACATGTCTTGAAAAAACTGTGCAAACATAATGGATGTAATGTTTGAAAGATGTACTTCATGCATATAAATCATGATGACTGATGTTAATACATATGTGCTACAGTTTATCTTCTGCTAGCGTGTGCCACAGTGCTGGAGTTTAAACTTACTTGTAGTTGAATTTTGTGCTGTCTTGACAGTGGAACCTGCATAAAGCATAAGTTATTTACCTATTTCTAAAATCTGCTGCCCAAAAATTTGCCAACCGATGGATGAAAATAACTCAAAAAGTAAAAAAAGATATTTTTTAAAAAAC